GTCACGGCAGAACCGTCTTCCAGCCCTAGAAAGTCTGTTTTCAAGCCTCGGTCCTGCAGCAGGCGAAATCGTTTGGGAGCGGAGTGCCTCTGGGCACATGCAGAGAGGAGTTCTCCTTCAATGGACAAAGCGCAGACAGTTCCCACATACTTCCAGGCGTGCCTGTGGCCTGCACTTCTCATTTTTCGAAGCAATTTGGGGGGCTTCTAGCCTAGTCTTGCTTGGGAGATGATGTATGACCCTGGTGAGTGTGCCTTGCACACATAATTTGCCTCAGAGGTGCACAAACACTTTTGGCTTTGGCTTCCCAGGAACGATGGCAAGACAAATGTGCATTGGGGGCTCTTTGCTTTTTTGCTTGTGAGTTTCCTAGAGCTTGTGAACAGGGCGGCTGCTGGCAGGAGGCCCTCGCCGGGCTGCAGGAGCCAAGAGTTGAACGCTTGGTCAAAATCCCTCAGTGACCCTGTGTGCCTGACTGAGCCGATATTCTGGGTTTCTCGGCCAGTCGCTCTCAAAAGGGACCTCCCAACAAGGCTCAGAGCGGGTGTGGGGAACTCTGGCCATGAGCTTTGTCATTTGGCTCACTCTTAAAGCGGGAATTCCTGGGGGCCAAAGGGCAGCGGGAGTGTGGTGTAGTGGTTAGAGCAGGGAGCTGCATGAGGGAGCCTCCTTTCCTCCCCTCCTCCAAGCAATGCACAACATTTGCTGCAGATCCAGCCGTAGCTTTCTTCTGGGCCTAGGGCAGCGGTAGCCCATGGTGTTGGACTACAATTCCCATCACCCCCCGACTTTGTGCGGATGGGAGTTGGGCGAGGGCCCAATGACATCTGGAGGTTGCCATGTTGGCTATCCCTTAGCCATACCTCTACTGTCGGTCTTCCTCACTCTGCACGTGGGAGGCACTCTGCATATGCTCAGAGACACTTGTTAGGTTGCAAGGCTGAGTAGGCTACAGCTGCTGCCACCTAGCCAGCAGTCCTGCCCCCGAAGCTAACATGAGGCTATCAGGGTTTTCTCAGGTTTGCACAGCTGTTAATACTCAATTATTAAGACGTCATAATGTGTTTCCAGTAGGTGTGGGGCGGCTCCCTTTCCTTAGTCAGTGGTTCTCAAAAGAGAGGGTGGCAAGTGCAGGGGGGAAGATTCAAGGACAATCAAAGAAACATTTCAGTGCAGTATAGTATCAAAATAATTTTTTTGCGGGGGGGATAGACAGTCGTACCTTGGATCCCAAACTCCCTGGAACTTGGATGTTTTGGCTCCCAAATGCCGCAAACCGTGAAGCGATTGTTCTTGTTTGCGAATTTTTTTTGGAACCCAAACGTCTGATGGGGCTTCCGTGGCTTTTGACTGGCTACAGGAGCTTCCTGCAGCCAATCAGAAGCCACGATTTGGTTTTCGAACGTTTTGGAAGTTTGACTTCCAAGGTACGACTGTACAACCAGAAACTACCCACGCGCCTCTTCAAGAGCAATTGGCTATTCTTCTACAGTTCTCCGCTGCATATTGCTGTGAACAGGGATTTTCAAGTCTGACAAATATGAAAGATCAGAAAAGAGAAAGGCTTCTTTGTGTTGATGAGGAAACGAGAATGGGAGTCTCATATTAAACCTAATATAAATGAGATTACCCGGCAAAAGCAAGCTCACACCTCTCACTGAGCTTGTATACATACTTAAAGTACATATGTAAGAGGCTCGTTCATAATTATATTTTGGCAGTGATTCATGTTCTTACGTAGCAGCCTTGTTTTATATTTTATGATCATATTATAAAGTAGTTGTGTTCTCTGTTGAGTCCAAGCATTGCTAGGAGTTGCTTCTTTTTGTTTTCCAATGCCTTTCTTATTAATAAAAAAATTGGGGCGGTGTGAGCATCTTTGTATTCCGAATGTGTGGCCCAGAGGGGGGAGGGAATGAGAACCACCGCCGTAGAAATAAAATTCATGCTCTGCACATGCTCTTGAGTCACTGCAGCTTTTGGGGGGCCAGGATGTTTGAGAAGAAAATAGAGAAATAGAGCCTTGTCATTGGAGGGCCAGGCCTTGCAGTAGCAGACTGCAATGGGGGTGTGTGTGTGTTTGAACCCTGGCTGTGGGTCCCCCATCCCTCCCCCCCCGACTTTCCAATTCTATCCATTCATTCCCTGTCACCTCCAGCTGAGTCGGTGGCACGTGCTGCCTCGTAGGGCCTTTGCCAGCCAGCTGTCATCACTCGGTTTAATGTGGCCCAGTTTCTGAAAATAAGCCCTCAGCCGCCACTGCCTCCCTCCCAACGTAACTTGACTCAGGGCTTTGAGGTCGGAGGGGGTTAGTTTGCGGTGACGCAGCAGCCCCTCTTGGGGTTACTTTGGGGAGGTTTTTTAAGGCCACACTTCAGTTTGTTTGGAGGGGCTCCCCCATCTGTCGGGGGGAACGGACTCCCTAAACCCCTTGCTCCTCCTTTGCTTCCCAGGCTGTGGGAAACTCTCTTGCTGTGGGTTAAATCCTTCCTTCCTCTGCCATTCCCTCCCTCTCTCTCTCCCCTCTGCCCCCCAAACCAATCCCCAGCCCCATTCTCTGGGGAAACTGCCAAGCCCCTGGGATCCTAGCCAGAGCTGGAGCCGTGAACAAATGGGAATATGGGACACTCTCCCCTCCACCCCACCATCCCTGCAAAGGGTCCCACTGCCAAGATGGGGTTTAGCAGGAATGCCGCTTTTAAGGGCAGCCATGATGGGTCTCTGCCTCAGCCGCTGAATTGTGTGTGTGTTGCCGTGGGGAATGGCACCAAATGCAGATTGTACAGAACCCTAATTTTCCGGTTGTTTTCTGCCTTTCCTCCCAGAAGCTCAAGGCAGCGTAGGTGGCCCTCCTGCAAGCCACCTCTTTGTTTCCTCACAACGCTCCCGTGAGGGAGAGCTGCCGACATGCCTACCCAATGAGTTATGTGGGGATTTGAATTTTGGTCTCCCAGATCCTAGTCCCTAGTTCAGCTGTTACACGACACTGGCTCTCTTTGGAAGCACCATGTGGGAGCTGCAGAGATATTGGAGGAGCTGTTCCACCCGCTCCCCAGATATCTGTGGGGGACATATTAATTATATTATATTATATTATATTATATTATATTATATTATATTATATTATATTAGTTCCATATCAAGTCACTGCCCCAAACAGCCATGTTCAGTTGAAAACTAGAGGCACCAATTGTGAGGCCACAAGTCTTTGGCCTGTCTTCCCACATCGGGATAATAATGCTGGAATTAGGAGGCTGTGGTTCTGAGAATTACTAAGCTATCTCTTTGGAAGTGTTTTGTACATGCACAGAAACACTATAGCGGCACATATTTTAGCTGTGGTTCTTGCCTCAAGTTGACAAATGACCCTTATGTCCCTGCCATGACTCTGGCTGTTTCTGGACTGGGCAACCAGTATGTGTGTGGAAACCGCAGAAAGATTAGTAGAAAGCGGAGAGTTTATTTCAGGGGTTAACTGGAAAGCGGGGTGCAGCCTCTGGGTGGGGTGTTTTGCAAATTCCTCTCAGAATGTGACACAGGAGTGGCTGGATTTGCTGCGTGCTTTTAGGAGTGCCTGTTCCTCTTCACTCGTGCTCTGTTTTATTTTGGTAACTAAAACCCCTCATACGAAGACACTGCAGCTTAGATGCTCCCTCATCCCAAAGAAACTCAGGCTGCCATCCTAAACACAAGACCAAGTCCCTTTGAACTCAGCAGGGCTTAACTTCTGAGCAAACCTGCCGGGTTTTTCTGGGCCTAAGCCAACATGCGGACTGCTTAGCACAGGGGTAGCCAACATGGGGCTCTCTGACTCCTATCAGCCCCAGTTGTGATGACAGCAATGAATTATTATTATTTATTGAATTTATATACCGCCCTAGCTCCTGCCCACCTAGCAGTTCGAAAGCACTCTTAAGTGCAAGTAGATAAATAGGTACCGCTTTATAGCGGGAAGGTAAATGGCGTTTCCGTGTGCTGCGCTGGTGCTGGCTCGCCAGCTGCAGCTTCGTCACGCTGGCCACGTGACCCGGAAGTGTCTACGGACAGCGCCGGCTCACGGCCTCTAGAGTGAGATGAGCACGCAACCCTAGAGTCGGACACGACTGGCCCGTACGGGCAGGGGTACCTTTACCTTTTTATACCTGGAGGTCTCAGTGTGGCTCACAGAAAATATCACAAAATATAAAATCAAAATAACAACAATAACGCACTAACCCCCCCCCCACAAAAGTGCCACATTTTAAAAGGGTATAGGTCAACCAAAGGCCTGGTTAAAAAGGAACATTTTTGCCTGGTGCCTAAAGGTGTGTAATGAAGGTGCTAGGCGAACTTCCCTTGGAAGAGCATTCCACAGACGGGGAGCCACAGCGGAGAAGGCCCGTTCTCGTGTTGCCACCCTCCAGACCTCTCGAGGAGGCGGCACACAAAGGAGGGCCTCAGAAGGTGATCTCAGGGTCCGGTTGGGTTCATATGGAATGATGCGGTCCTTGAGGTATTGCGGTCCTGAGCCATTTCAGGCTTTATAGGTCAAAACCAGCACTTTGAATTGGGCCCGGAAACTAATTGGTAGCCAGTGCAGTCGGACCAGGATTGCTGTAATATGCTCAAACCGTCTTGCTCCGGTGAGCAACCGGGCCACTGAATTCTGCACTAGTTGTGGTTCCCAAACCGTCTTCAGAGGCCTGCGTAAAACCTTGAGGATAACAGAGCACGGACAATGGTAGTTAGGCTATCCCTGTCCAGATAGGGGCGTAGCTGGGCCACCTGCCAAAGCTGATGGAAGGCACTCTGGGCCACCTGAGCCTCGAGTGACTGCAAAGGATCCAGTACCCCCAAGCTGCAAACCTGCTCCTTCAGAGGAAGTGGGGTTTTTTAAGGTGCCATTTGGCAATTAGCTTATATATCTGAGTTTCTAACACTGCTCTGAGTGTGAATGGCATTGGCCCTAGCCTATTTGGTATCAGATCCTAATTCTGCATGTGTGTCCTTTCTCCCCCCAGGTGGCCATGGTCGAGGTGCAACTGGAGGATTACGACTACCCCCGGGAGCTGCTGGTGGCGTTCAGCGCCTGCACGACGGTGCTGGTGGCAGTCCACCTCTTTGCCCTCATGGTCAGCACCTGCATCCTGCCCAACATCGAGGCTGTCAGCAATATCCACAACCTCAACTCAGTCAACGAGTCCCCCCACGAGCGCATGCACCGCTACATCGAGCTGGCCTGGGGCTTCTCCACAGCCCTGGGGATCTTCCTCTTCCTCACTGAGGTGGTGCTGATTTGCTGGGTCAAGTTCCTGCCCGTTGGAAGCGCTGCCTCCGCTCGGAAGTGCTGCGTCCCCGCGCCAGCCCCTTCCGGCGGCAACTCCACTGCCCCGGCCCCGACTTCGGCCTCTCCGGACAACTCCGGGTGGAACGCCGCCATGGCTTCCACCATCATTATGGTCCCGGTGGGCGTGGTCTTCATCATCTTCGCTTTGCATTTCTACCGCTCGCTAGTGGGACACAAAACGGACCGGCACCAGCAGGAGCTGGAGGAACTCAACCAGATCAAGTACCAGCTCGATGGAGAAGCCACGGCGCTGCAAGTGGTGTGAAGCTTGTTGGCCTGGCTCCTGGGACGGTTGTTATTTCCAGGAGAGGAGGGACTGCCTTGCAGATGTCCCGATTACCGACTCGGTTGAGGGGACCGCGAAGTCGCTGGTACAGTTGGAACTTTATCAAAAGTGGCTGTGACCTCTCCTCTTTCTATTTCTATTTTTTGCTTTTTTGGAAGGTGTTCCTTCCGCCCGCAACCTTTATAACAAAATTATTTCATGTCCCCTGGAAAAAATAAAAAGGAAAAGGGTATATGAAACGCAGAAGGATTTCTTGAAATGGAAAAGGAGCCGCAAACTTGAATTCCCTGCCCAAATTCCCGCTGCCCGATGGAGTTTCCGGGATGCACTGAAATGTTTACCGAACGTGGCCTTGGAGTAAAGAGACGGCACTTTCCCCCTGGGAGAAGGGTGGCGGCTTTGCTTATTTGGTTGCGGTTTGTTTTCTTGTGGCTTTGTTCGCTCTTGCAGTCCCCCTCAAAACCAGAGAGAGAGAAAGGTGTCACTCAAACAAGCTGGGATTTTAAAAAAATGGGTAGGCGGGTCTGAGTGAATCAACCTGCCTTGCCATTTGTCTTCCTCCTCACTCCAGGAAGAATATCTCTATGGCTGGGATGGAGAACCTCTGGCCCTGGGTTCAAGTCCACAGCTCTCTTTCTGGCCCCCAGGGGGCTCTCTGTAGGCCACTCCCCCTGTTCCCAGGCCACATTCCTCATTGGTTCTGCTTCCCGTCTTCCTTGAGTGTTTTTGCCTGGCTGGAATGTGCCCTTGAAATCTGACGACGATTCTTCCTTTCCTGGGCAGAGAGGGCTTAATGTGAGTGCATGGACTTTGCGAAGGTAGAAATTCACAGTCTGCCCACTTTTGCCCCACGTACCACTAGCATGTAGGCCCCAGAAAGTTGGCTAGATGGGAATGCAACTGCAGAAACAGCGAAATTATTTTAGCCCACTAGTTGATGTTCCCTGTAAGACCTCTAAACTCAAGGAACCAATCTCTGGCTGTTGGCCATGCTGGCTGGCAGTCCTGATAAGAGTTGGGAGCCCAATAACATTGGGGCAGCCACCTGTTTTCCAGCCCTGGCCAGACAGTTGGTTGCCACTGCTAGCCGTCCTGTTGTTTTCCATTAGCACCACTGCAGGCTGTGTGCCTCTGAACTGGCTGGCCAAGGGCTGGACCAGCTCTGGAAGTGGGGGTTGCTAAGCAATGGCAACATCTTCCCTTCCTCCCAGTGCTGGCAAGAAAGCTAGGTGTGGGATGCAGCCTAATGGCAGCAGTGAGGCACCCGGCTCTTGAGGTCAGAGAAAGGATGTGGGCAGTTTTAGCAGAGGGGTGTGTGTTTTGTGCGCACGTGAAAGAAACACACACACACTCCCCCCACACAAATGCACTCTGTCCCTGGTCCCAGGCAGCAGTTTCTAGAGAAACCCTGTCTTTCCAGATATCGAGCAAGGGAATGTTTTCAAGATGACTCATTCCCTTGGGTGGTGTTGAAGACTGGTTCTTTTTCTCTATAGAAGGACAGTTCATCCTCAGCTGCTGGGCTTGAAGGGAAATGGTATATTTTTGTTGGACAAGGAGGAAGCGGACGACTTGAAGGAATATCTGGAGCTGAACCACCCACAGCTGCTGGTGTTCTTTTTTCCGCTTCTTTTTTTTAGGGGGGGGGTTATCCGTTCTGTTCCTACAAAACACCCCTTGCGTACAAGCAGACAGATCAGCGCTTTGTGTGTGAACTGTACATCACGAGACCCCCACAGCAGATTATTTATGTGGCCCCGAATCACAAAGTTATCTGAATCCTTGCGATGGGAGCTTGTGGCCAAGGTGTTGAGCAATCTCCTGTTCCCACAGACATCCTGCTCCACCCAGCCTAGCCTGCAATCTTCAGAGGCCTGCTATTATAATTTGGGGTGGTAGTTAAAACCTGACTTTGGTGACCCCCCCCCCCCAGTGTCAGGCCCAGCTCTGCAACTTTTCCCAGCAAGTTTTGAAAAACTTGGTGGCAACCCCTGAGTTGGCCCACATGTGCCTTGAGTTCTCTTTGCTGGACCAGGCTAGAGGTTAGGTCTCCAACGTGGTGCCCTCATACGCCCCCTTTGCCCAAGACCTGCCTTTCCCAGTTTTTAAAATGAGGATTTTGCGGAGGCCTTTTTTGTTGCTATTTGGTTGTGGGGGTGCCTTTTTTCAAATCTGTTTTATTTGTTGTGTGTATGGGGGAAGGTCAGTGTTTTGCCTGTTTCCGTGTGTGTGTGTGTGTGTGTGTGTGTATGTATGTGTATTTGGCACCCATGACATTTTCTTAACAATCCCAGGCCCAATGAGGTCTGATAACCCTGCACTAGATTAGGACGCAACTCGTTTTTATAGGCGGGATATTTAAAGCGAGACATCGCCTGATATGCATTCTTAAAAACAAACAAGGAAGTAAAGCAGCTGCAAGTCGCTTCTGGTTGAGCTAAGGAACTGCTGTTTCCTCCTCGGATGTTCATCTGCTCAAAATCACTCTTCCTGCCATCTGCTCCCCTCCCCTTGCAATGACTTAAAGAGAGATACAGGGACCTACAGGAAAAGTAGCTTTTGTGAGTGGGGGGGAGTCAAGAGTTTTTGAATGGGCAAAGGAGGACTTTTTAAAACATCCTTTCCTCCTGTGTTCTCTACTCACCGTTGCAGATGTTTTATTTGCTTAATGAAATGCCTTTTGGGTGCGAGGGTGGGGGCACACATCCCTAGTTAAAAGCCGATTCACATTTCTAGTGAGCCGCTAAAGTTGTCGCTGATGACTTAGCAAAGGAGAAAAGGACTGAAGGCAGTCCAGGATGTTGCTGATCATTTCCTGCCGCACAATGTTTATTTTATTTATGTATTTATTTTACAAGGCTTATACACCGCTTGACTGTAATAAAACCTCAAAGCAGTTTGCAAGAAAGAATAAAACATTATTAGCAAACAGCGGTTAAAAACGACTATTAAAGCATTCAAAAATAATTAGCAATTAACAGGAAGCTAAAAACCAGATTAAAGCACATGCCAATATTACTACATGTCTGGAGAGACTTGCCTAATCAGAAATGCCCAATATTCAGCATAATAATGAGTGTTAATAATAGGCTATTTGGGGGACGGACAGACTGTATAAACTCTGGCTAGCCAATGCGGTACCCTCTTTCTTAGACTCCAGCTCCCATCAACCTCAGCCAACATGTCTAATGGTCAGGAAATGATGGGAATTGGAGTCCCAATAACCATGGTCGGTGTTAAAAGCTTACTATGAGCCACACCAGTTCAGTAGCTTGTACGACTCAAGACAGACATTGCCTTGGCTTTTAAGCATTGTTTTCCCTTTAAGGAGGAATTGTTTAATTTGCATATTTAGCCACATGAGGCTGGGGAGGGGGGGGTCACACATGGGGACAGACCACGCTGTATGTCTCAGTCTGCACTTGACCATGTATTTCTGTTCCGCTCTATCATTGGTGGAGCAAGGGAGACCAATTTCTGGCAATTTTTATTCTGTATATTTTTAAAATGAAAAATAAATCTTTTTTATGGGAGAAAAAAAGGAAAAGTTGTCCAAGTTAACTTTATAGGAACTATAGATTGTGAGCCACAATTGGCCATTTTTCATTTTCATCGTTTGTATGTGTGTGTGTGTTTGTGTTTTTTGTTTTTCTAAGGAAGTGTGCAACATTTATTTCAAGCTGCTCTTCGGCACCATATATGTACTATTTCAGAAGGCAGAAATGTGTAAATATTCTTTCCCCCAAAATAACATATATACAAGAACATATCCCTGCAGGTTGAAAGCTAAGACAGAAAGGGATTCCCAGCCTAGCCTTCAGCCTGGCCAGCTACTTTTCTATATGCAGGTATTTTTGCTACCTCTGGGAGCATTTGCCTGGCAAGTTGGCCCAATGGCTCTGTTGAGCTGAGATACCAACTTAATGTTCAACCTCAGTGACACTTCCACCTACAAAACAGCCACTAGTTGGAGGTATAAAGTACTTGTTCATCACTGTTGGTGCTACTCAAAGTTGAGTAGTACCACTAAAATTACTGCTTGCAGCGAACAACTGTTGTTCTTAAGGTAGTAGGTGCAAGCACACCCGTGGTAGGAATGCTCCCTGCCGAGTTTTGCTTGGAGCAGGTTCTGGACTCTGTTTTTAGAGTTTGCTATCCAATTGCGTATTTGCTCAAATGGTTTTCGGACCAGTTTTCCGTTTGGCATAGTGAATGCTAGCATTATGCTCAAAACAGGTCTAATCATATCTGATCAAGAGCTGTGTGCAATTCAGATACTTGCATATCTACATATTTACCTACTGCATGTGTTCAACCGGTTGTTCTTAAGAAATCAACAAAATTTTAAAATACCGCTATATGGTTTCCTCTCTCTCAGCTGCCTTCTTGAAGTATGTGTTAAGCTAACCAGTGGTTGTCTGACTTTCCATTTCTTTTTTTGAACCGAAGTTCTCTCTTCTTCTTCTTTTGTTTGCTCAAAGTGCTGTGTAATGCTGTGTGGTTTTCTTTTTTAAAAAATATGTCCCGATCTGTTAATGTTTTCCCCACATTTCCTGCCATTGCTGTTCCAGCCCACTTCTCCTTTCTCTTAACGTTTTGACTCTCTTCTACAGCAATCACTCCGGATCTGTACAGAACAGCAGAATTAGGTGGTAGAATGTGGAGCTGACAGAATGGACTTGCACTACTGCAGACTGCCAAGCGTGGAATTGGCATTTACCCTGCTGGTCTAGTATCCTGCATGTCTCTTGAGGCTCATTTGAGTGTATATAGCCTTGTGTCTTCTGCAAGAGATTCTGCCAATCCAAACACCTCCCCAGCAGCTGAGCACTGGTGGTCTGTCACCCGATGTAACACAGGATGTAGGGAACTGATTTGAGGACCTCTGCATATCTTGATGGTATCTCAGAGGAAGCCGTGGTTGCATGGATGGAGAAAAGATATTCTCCCTCTCTCAAGAGTCTGAGAACATAGGGCAGGGGTCTGCAACCTTTAAGACAAGAAGAGCCACTTGGACCCGTTTCCGAAGGAAAAAAAAACTGGGAGGCGCAAAACCATTGCGACATTTAAAGCATGCGCGCCGCTGCCCTCCGATCTGACAGCGGGTGGGAAGGTGACATCGGGACGGTGCGTGACTAACGCACACACCGCCCCCATGCGACGTCACAGCCAGTACAGCGCCCGCCACAAAGGGGAGTGTCAGGGCGCACAATATGCCTCCTCCCCTTGCTAGTATCCGCCCCGGAGCCGCGGCAAAGGTGTAAAAGAGCCACATGCGACTCCGGAGCCGCGGGTTGCAGACCCCTGACCTAGGGTAACCTAGCAAAGGTGAATATTTGTGGAGATTCAGCAGAGGCAACAGGAAGTACTTTCCAGAGTCGAATGATTGGTTTTGCTGCTGGAGGCAGGATGGTTTCAGATTGGATGGGCGACTCGTGTTAAGATTCTTGCATTGCAGGGGGGGTGAACTAGATGAGGAGGGTTGCTATTGAGCTCAGGTTCTGCTTGCAATCTTCTCGTGGGCAATGTGATTACGGTTCTGAGTGAGATGGACCTCTGGCCTCAACCAGCAGAGCTGCCCTTAGGTTTCCCATCTACTAGAAAGTAACTGTTCCCGAAAACCTAAGTACTGAAATGAGTGCAAGAGCATACATTTATTATTGCATTTATATTCTGCTCTTTCTTCCAAGGAGCTCAGGGCAGTGTCTATGGTTCTTTTATCCTCACAACAACCCTGCAAAGTGGCTTAGGCCGAGAATGAGTGGCCCAAGATCATCCAAGGAGAGGGGATTTGAACCTGGAGGACACATCCACACCAGACACGTCAAGCGCCTTTAGGTCACTTTTAACAGTCATGGCTTCCCCCAAAGTACAGTGGTACCTCGGTTTAAGAACAGTCCGGTTTAGGAACGATTTGGTTTACAAAGTCCGCAAAATCGGAAATAGTGTCTTGGTTTGGGAACTTTACCTCGGTCTAAGAACGGAATCCGAATGGTGGAAGGGCACCGGCGATGGCAGGCCTCATTAGGGAAAGAACAGTTTTGGTTTAAGAACGGACTTCCATAATGGATTAAGTTCGTAAACTGAGGTACCACAGTATCATGGAAACTGTAGTTTGTGGCTGTGGAGAGTTGTTAGGAGACTCCTGTTCCCTTCTCAGAACTAGAATTCCCAGAGTTCCCTTGGAAAGGAAGGCTTGATTGTTAAACCACTCTGGGGATTGGTGTGCCTTTTCAAGCTGCAGAAATGCCTCCACAGCTGGCTCTCTTTTGCCTCTCCTCATTCCGTTCCTTGTTTTGGAACATTTGTCTCTTCCCACCCCCCACCCCTGGGCTTTGACAACTCTTGATCTCGCAAGGCCCTCCCGTCCCCTCCCTTCTGGACAAGAGCTGAACTATATATATAATCCCTTTCGAACCCTGGCTGTGCTCCCAGGTTGGTGAAATGTTTACGCTGTCTGGGAATACTCCTGGTCCCAGCTGGGAAGAAGCCAAGAAGGCCTGAGAAACGGAGAGAGAAGGTCAAAAGCAGCAGTGGGCTGAGACAGTGTCTCATTAATGTTCCAGGCTGGATGGGAGCAAGAACACAGGATGGCTGGGATTCACACACACACACACACACACACACACACACACACACAGTATTTATGTACCCTCCAAGGTTTGGAAGAGAAAACTAGGCAAGCTTTGGGCTTCCATGCAGGTTCCAAAGTACACACTTTCACGTGTGCGATGTAGCCAGAGGGGTATCAGCCCTAAGTAAACACCCACCCCAGAATCTTCACCCTGTTATCCTGAGGTACTGAACCTGCTGCTCTCCAGATGTTGAACGTCAATAATGATGATGGTGATGATGATTAATTACTTATACCCCACCCATCTGGCTGGGTTTCCCTAGCCACTCTGGTCAGCTTACAGCATATATTGAAACATAACAAAACATCAAACATTAAAAACTTCCCGCTACAGGGCTGCCTTCAGGTGTTTTCTAAAAGTTATGTAGTTCTTTATCTCCTTGACATCTGAAGGGAGGTTGTTCCGCAGGGCGGGTGCCACTACCGAGAAGGCCCTCTGCCTGGTTCCCTGTAACCTCTCTTCTCGCAGGGAGGGAACTGCCAGAAGGCCCTCGGAGCTGGACCTCAGTGTCCGGGATGAACAATGGGGGTGGAATCACTCCTTCAGGAATACTGGGCCGAGGCTGTTTATCAACACCAAACAGCATTGACAATGGCCAGGAACAACTGGTGGGTGGGGCACAGTCTCCCCAGCCTTCTTAACTTTGGGTGCATTAGGATTTGCTGTGGTTACTCTTTAGGGAGAGGAAAAGGACATTCAACAAAGCCTGCAAACACGCTCCTTTGCTGAAGTTGCAACCTTTGGGTGTGGGCAAACAGACGTTCTGGTAAATAAGTGTCAGAAGGGGTGTAGCTGATCTGGCGTTCTTCCAATGTGGACTACTTCCATGGCCCCTGTAGTCCAATTACATCTGATGGGTGCCATGTTTGCTACCCCTTGGCTAGATAGTGACTCTTGCCATTGAAAAATGGTTTCAGACATGTGTGGATTTCACAGTCGCTATAAGCAGGGACAGTCAACCCCTGGCCCTTAAGATACTTTGGGCATATCACTCTCCTCAGCCTCGGCCATTGTGGCCAATTGTCAAGGATGATGGGAATTATAGTCTGAAAACATTGGAAGAGTACCAGGTTGATCTGGTTCACACTGAGAGGCAGATAGGAATCAGGAGTTGCCAGGGATAGCTTCTGGGACTTTACACATGCAAACCATGTGCTCTGCAATGGAGTTATAGCCACACCACCTTTGTGGAAAGGTACAGGGGTCAAAATCAATCTGCCACTAATCCTCTTGTTCCTGCCTATGTATTTGTAGAGATCAGCCAGAGGTTAAATTTTTAGACCTGAACATGTGGTGCCCTCTGGTGGAAAACGAAATGAGTAGCACACACTACTCCTTTAACCCCGTCCTGCCCACATCTCAATATTGTACTGCTTTCAAAAGGGGGCAAGGAATCCTTTGACCGAAATAGGGTGTCTGCCTTTAGCTTTAAGACCCTGGAAACATTTTTTTAAAAAAAACAAAAACAAATAAATACACAATTCTTTCTCAGTTTGGGAGTTTCAAACACATCTGGAAATTGAATTGGCATGGTCAAGTTCATTTGTAGCTTGCTTTTTAAGAAAGAAGAGGTTGAAGCAGACATTTAAGTCTGCTGTATCAGTTACTGACTAATTGTTTTATTATTTCAGCTTTTATCCTCTGTTCTTTTGGGCTTAGGATGGGTTTAAAAAACCAACACTTTTTTTTGGGGGGGGGAGGAAATACTATAAATGCAAAATACACTGTTTACATAATTAAATAAAATCAAAATCTCCTGTGTCATTGGCTTGGTCCTGACTTGACAGATGTTGGCCCAGCCAAGAAATGTCACATCATTTCCTAATGATACATGATTACATGATGATAAGCCAAAATTCTACCCACCATCAAAACAAAATGGGAAGATAAATCATTCAAATACATTGACAGGAAGCAGATGGGTAAGGCTGAACCACTGTGGGGGAGCGATGTTACCTAAATATCTGAACATTGCCAGACATCAGCATATTATCATCAGACTTTCAACTATGGCAAATCATGTGGATCTCAGAATAATTTGGGATTTTCCATCCCCAAATTTAGAATATTAGGTTTTTGTTTAAATAACAATTTTCACCAACATTTACACCTGGAAATTTTCAAATATTGCAAAATATGAAAATGGTAGAAAGGGCTCAGTTATCCAAAACCAGAGTAATCTCCCCTATCCAAAACCGGAGTAATCTCCCCTCTCCCCTCCCCGCGGGAGGGGGAGGGAGCAGAGTAAAAGGGAACTAGCAAACAACTGAGCTAAGTATTGCTGAGAGCCTTTAAATATACTTATATTTAGGGACATAATCAAAATGTATGTTTCTTCATTATGTAACAAGCCTAAATGAAAATTAACTCTGTGTGTGCATGTATATGTACAATCAAGGTGTCATATACTGTATTTGTATTTTGAATTCAGGAGCAATTTCTTGGTGCGGAGGAGAGAAGAGTATTGTAAACCTTTGATCCTTGACATGCAACAGGACTGTCCTTTGCTACTACTTAAAAATAAAAATGGTCACCACCTATTCTAACAAATATTTTGCAGTGTCAAAATTACCTGAATTGAAAACATTGTTTTTTTTATATAAAAAACAAACCTGTTTCTTTTCTTTGCCCGAGCAGATTCAACACTCTTATCATACCAGTATTTAAAAATAAATAAATAGCCGCATATCAATGCGAGGACTAGTTATCTCTCTTACTGGCTTTTCTGACGGTGTTCTGCTAAGAGACTTTACAATTTCGTTTTCGGACGAAAGTACCGAAGTCGACTCTGGTTAGCTCAATACCACCTTTTGGGGTAGCTGCGATTTCAATTCAGTAGATTCGGGCCGAATTCTTTACATGGGCCTTTTCCGAATGACAGTGCAGACTCAGAATTTCTGGGCTAACCCCCGTTACCTTCATTACAATTGTTAAATGGGTTAAATAGCAGCGATTTCGCTCTTTGTCACGAAAGCGTCATGCGCATTTCTAAGTTTGCCATTCCGTTACGACGACTTTAGATTTCGCTCCCGCAGATTCGTCGGTACCACCTTTTTTACGGTCGTCTGGGCGCCTTCCAAACTCTCAGCAGCGGAGCAATCTTCTCTATCCCACGGTACCTAACCTGTACTAAGCACCCACCATATAAGCGTAATTCGTTTTATTTGGTTGGTCCAGCAGCGAATGTGCGAGGAAAGAATCGGGGCTAGATCTTCGCCCTCCCCATCTTTTAAGTCTAGTTGTCATTTCGAATTGAACGATTCGTCACCATCCTACGTTCGCAGAAAACACACACACACACAACCCGGAGGATTAAAAAAACCAACCAACCTAATATTCTGCGGAAGCACTGGAAAACGAAGTGAAACGCGTGACCCTGTGAACGGTGGATTCCCTCCCCCTCAAACAGCCCAGTGTCGAAAGCGCAGACCAGAAAAAACAACACGACGACGACGAAGCCGGAGAGCCGGCAAAACCGTCTCCATAGAGAGGAGGGAGGGGTGGTGGTGAGGAGAGGAGCAGCGGTTCTCGCGAGAGCCTCGCCCGAGAGTCTCGCCCGAGCGCTCTGGCCCCGCCCCCTGGTCCCTGTCGGCAGCGGCAGAGGGTTGTCACCCTTTTCCCCTTCCCTCTTTTCTTTCCCCCCCTTGTCCTCCCTTCACAGGTCGCGAGGCGAGAATAGCGGCGGAGCAGCACGAGACGCCGAGAGAGAGCGCGAGGGAGAAGAAGAGAGAGCTCGCTCGCTCGCGCGGGGGAGAGGGAGGCAGCGCGCGAACGAGCGCGAGAGGCCGGACGAAGGGAGGAGAAGGAGGGGGGGCCGCCGTCGCCGCGCGTGCGCCCCCTGAGAGAAGGGAGGAGGAGGAGGAGCGGGTAGGAGCAGGTGACGCGAGCGAGCGGGAGGCGGAGAGGGGAGCGCGCGAGCCCCTCCGCTGGTGAGGGGGGGAGGGGGGGGAAGGAGAACGCGCGCGAGTGACGGGTGCGTTGTGGGGGGGGCGGGGGAGGGGAAGGCCTCGCGCGGGAGGGGGAGGGAGCAGGAGGGCGCCTTGGGTGGGCGGGGCCGGGGCACCTGAAGGGAGGGCAGGAGCCCCCAAAAGGGCAGATGGGGTTGTAATTGAAGAGAGGGGTTTGGGGAGGGGGCAGTTTGTGTGGGGACTATGGGTGTTTGGGGGGGGAGGCCTTTTTGAGAAGGGGGTCCTGGGAGGAAGGCCTCTCCTCCTCTCCCTCCTCCAGCTGACCAGGCTGGGCGCCCAGGGAGTGGGGTGTCTGACTGAGGGTCTGAAGTTTTCTCCCCCGCCCCCGTTGGAGGCATGCATTTAGGAAGAGAAACGAGCCTCCCCAAAACAACGGGAGGAGGCGTGGTGTGGAAAGAAGGGCCCTTTGGGTGGCATCGATGCTACAGAATAGAAGAGGAATAGAAAATTCCTATAGGGAAAGGGGCATTTTGAGGGGCAGGAGAACATCTGACGAGGGATGGTTTTTTGGGGGGGGTGAGAGAGAATCAAATTGTTTTGAGGGGTTCCGTTAGCAGCAAGGCAGAGTGAAACGGTCCATGGAGGGTGAGGTTGAAAGGGAAGGATGATCTGACAGGGTTTGAAGAGGGGAAGGGGGAGAAGGGAGATCTCCACCGATTGGCTGGATGGTAGAAATGGGCGATGTTGCAGAGATCTCTGTGAGGAATAGATTTTCCATATCTGCATGACTCTGTGAAAGATGAAGATGGGCAGAGAGAATGGGAGAACTGATGGATGTATTTAGGGGCCGTAGTGAGAGGGAGAGAGACAGAGAGCGCTCCCATTGACAAATGGGAACAATTAACTCAGGATGGCTTGGAGAGAAGTTGAAAAAGGTCGTGATAAATTGTACAGCTTAGAGGTAAGGCCTTTAGAGGATAGAGGAGGAATACGAAAGTTAGGAATATTAAAATGAGCACTTACTCAAAATGGGGGGCCAACAGATAAACCTTGCAATGTTTTAACTGCAAAGGAAATTAGAGGTGAAGACTGTGAGGCACAGAGAACATCTCAGAATGACAAAAACTTAGACAGGGAAAATAATTCTTAGGGCAAGCCTTTTTATCAGGAAATCTGTTGATGGGGAGGAGCCGAATATGCGGAGGAAGATGATTATTGATAAAGTTGAAGAATGGGGGGGGGACTTTGAGGGTAGACCCCAGCGGAAAAGGAGGGCTGTGGATTTCGTAATCCCACTTTGAGAATTTAATTTACAGTATGCAATCTTCCTATAGCTGGAGGCATCTGAATTCAGATTGCTTCATCTTGCTTTATTTTAGTTTTAGGGTAATGCATTGTTGCATAATTTTGGTTAATTTTTAATTTGTGAGCATAAGTAACTTTTCCTCTTAAGTAAGGAGGAATACATGTCACCAGGGGATAGAATTGGGAGTCCTGATTCCCAGCATTCCCTATTCTAACATGCCATCTGTCTTCCAAGGAAGTCTTTTTATTCTACTGCCTGAGAATGTTTCATTATGCAAATTCGTATCCATCATTTGCTTGTTTTTTTACACTCACTTTTTGTACTTTCTTCCTAGTTTCCCAAGTGTTTTGTTTCACATTATGGACTGAACCAACTCCAACCAGGCTTTATTGCGAAGGAAGAAAAAACACACAGCTGTAATAGCTTGACCACAGACGAGATAATCCACAACAGGTACAATTTTATTCCCACCTTTTACTTTCATGCATTCCCTTTGTGCTGCACTTATTTGGAGATCTATATTTCTGTTCTTATGCAATGAGCACGTTACAAGGTTAAAATTGCTGGGCTTCTCAAATGTGCATTATACTTAGAGAGGGCATGTGGTTCTGGTAATTATATTCTTCATATTCGATAGGAAGTTGAATATGAATAAGGGCAGGATAATGTATTAAATTAACATTTTTCAAATATGTAAAAGGGGCAAAAGTAACTTTGAGGTCAGACCAAGAGATTTATCAAGGTGATGTTTTTCAGGCACCAACCTCAGTTATTTCAGTTATGGCACATTCAGGGAGTATATTATTAAAGGAGGCATATGTGTGAAAATAATTTGCACAGGGTAATTATTATAATTTTGCTTCTATGTTAGCAAAGCTGTTTGCCACCAGTGTGGCAACTCTAAACTACTCTAAAACTAGGACTGTGTATGCTCTGTGCTTAAAAAAAAAAATTCTGCTCCAAGAAAAGCTAAACTCTGGTCCCCCTATAAATTATTTGTCAGATTATTGTAATCAGTGGCCATTATACCGCTACAAATTTGCTCCAGTTGCACAAGTTACATAATTTCTCTTATTTTGCACAATTTATTCTACTATTCATATTTTAGGCATGGGAGGAGCAAGGCTGAATATGTCTCATTTTAGTAATTCAAAATCTTATTCAGACAACTCACTAAGATTGGAGCAGGGACTGCCTGCATGCTGTCAAGCATTTCTTCATAATTGTGTATTTTTGCTATTGCTTTAAAAGAATTTATAAACTACTTAATCAAAGAATCCCTAAGCAGTGTAATGAAATAATTTAAAACTGTTACCTGTATCAAGTTTAAAATTTAAAAACAAAATTTAAAAGCAAAATGTAAAAACAGGTATATGTAACTTGTTAACATGTCCAAGTAAAATTGCTGAAACACAAATATTTTTAGCAGGTATCTAAAACAGCTCAACAAGGCTGCTTTATAATCACAATGGACAGAAGCTTGCTTTAAAAAAAAATCTGCACTATATACCACAGCTTTTGTTCCATGCAATCTTGCAGAACTGTAGCAGGTTCACAGTCCCTGCAATAAAGCTCTGCAAATCAAATCCAGGAAACCCAATTCTGAGTATGTATGTAATTAATCTCTCTTCAAAAGTGGCCAATTTAATAAAAGTTTTATAAACAACAACAACAATTTATTATTTATACCCCGCCCATCTGGCTGTGTTTCCCCAGCCACTCTGGGTGGCTTCCGACCAAATATTAAAAACAGTACAGCATCAAACATTAAAAACTTTCCTAAAAGCCTTCTAAAAGTAAAATAGTTGTGTTCCACAGGGCAGGCACCACTACCGAGAAGGCCTTCTGCCTGGTTCTCTGTAACCTCACTTCTTGCAGCGAGGGAACTGCAAGAAGGTCATTGGCGCTGAACCTCAGTGTCTAGGCTGGACGATGGGGGTGGAGATGCTCCTTCAGGTATATACAGGACCGAGGCCATTTATGGCTTTAAAGGTCAGCACCAACACTTTGAATTGTGCTCAGACCCATTGTACGGAAGCGTAAAATGGACAGCCAAATACCTTTGTGCAAGTCACTGAGCTTGTGCAATACAGTAATAGCCCTGGTGATAGTAAATGGATTATGGAGAAGAGGTACAGTTGTTCAGGCAGTTTAATATTAAACCCTCTTCTAGTTCTGGGATATACAGGCACATCTGCTGGTGGTGACTATTCTGGGTTCAAAGGTGTCTACTTCAGAAATGGCCAGGAGTGGGCTCCTTTGTTATTGTTAACTCTTTCTCATATTAGTAATCATATTATCTAATGCACTGGTTCCATTTCTACTGCTCTAGGGTAAATGAGTCAGAATGGATCAGGAAGGTGGGGGTGACTTCCAGAAAACCCCTAACTTCCAGTGGAGAAACTACAAGCTCATCGTTGACCCAGTGCTCAAGCGGGCCCCGCACAAGGTCTACCGCTATGATGGAGTACATTTCAGCACTAATGTAAGTGGACAGATTCTTATTTGGATGGAGTTGGGGAGGATTTGTTTGAGCTGTGCTGAGAAAGTGAGGGTGGTTCTACCTTTCCTGCTGTGTAATATCCATTGGACGTTCCAAGTACCCACTTTTTTCATTTGTGTTCTCAAGTTTTTAAACTCTCTGCTTCTCCTGCTCTGTCAGTGTACTGTGTGTGGGGTGGGTGCATTCTTGATTTTTTGGCGTTCTGTTGATTCTGGGTGGACAGCAGAATCCAAGGCACTGTTGCTCAGATTGTGTGATGGGTCAGTTCTGTGCCACACAGTCCCTAGATTACTTGTTTTGTGCACCTTCTCCTCCTCCTGGTTGTCACAGGGTCCCTAACCCCAGCTTCCATACAGATTTCTATGTCCTTGTGCATTGAGGCTCTAGATACTGGATATTTGAATGCAGCAATCTGAATGCTTTGCAGATCTCTGAGCAGGGCTGATGCCTAAAATTTTGGTTTTGGCTTCTGAAGAATTGAAGCTGCCTTTTAGGAGTTCTAAATAAGTTCATTTCCATTTTTGGCATTGGTTGTTTTTTAACATGGAACATACAGAGTCCTGTCAGGAAACATGGCAGGTGGGTTTTGTGTGCTGATGGCTACTGAGAGTACAGTGGTGTGAGAGGTGAACAGGAAAAGGAAATATGCCTGTGGCTCATGGGGCAGCTACTGGGGGATTCTTGAAGGTGTAGCAGCCTCCCCAAAGGGTGGGAATGAGGAGGGGTGCTTTGACTGTAGAGGAGGCCAGGTATACCTAGGTTTATGAACTCCTTAGGCTCTTGTTTCGTCTCACAGCAAGTCAGTCCCCACTTTTTCAGTGCCACTGGAATAATTGGGACTTGAGCAATTAAGACCCATTGAAACAAATGGGAACTTAAGTGGCTTAACCTTCCCTGGGTTGCACCTATAGATTCTCTGGCTTTAAAATGATTATAAAAGTGCAAATAAAAATGTTTAGGTTGGTTTATGGCTATTTTATGAATGAGTTTCCTTATTAGCAGAAGCAATAGAAAATGAAAAAGGCATTTGATTTAGATCTCTGTCAGACATTGCTGGCATAGTGTTAAAGAGAAAGCATTTGGTGGTCTCCAGCTCAAGTTCTTTGTATCCTATAGTGTGTTATTGCAAATTAAGAATTTCAGTACAGACACCTGCCCCAGTTCAAGCAAGACACAATTGGGCTTATGTCTGTTGGCTAACATTTGATTTGACTTCTGCTGTTTTTAATATTAATAAAATGTTTCATTTTAAAATTGGTTTCTAAAGTCCCTAGTAGTTCTTATTTTAGAGTTGCCATTAAACAATATTTGGTTCCATTTTAATTTCCTCCTAGAAATGAGGATGGGCCTTGTAGCATTGGAGCAGTTTGAAGAGCATAGTCTTTGTCTCTTGGGTTGCCTGCCATACTTGAAAAATTTCTTTCTTAATCGTTAACCCACCTCTGAGGCTACCTTTGGTTGTTTGGTCCATTACTTGTTGGTTATAGAATAATTTCTACTGCTTAACTTTCATTGTTTTGCTGTGTACTGTAAAAGCAAGATCCATTGAAATCAATGGAACTTATTCCCACATAGCTTGTGTAGACTGTACTGTGTTATGCCCACTTTAGAGACAGAGATTGAGACTGAAACAACCTGTTTCAAATATGATTTCCTCCCAAAACCACTATAGTACTTGGAATTTGGAATATAAGGACTAAAATCTTTTTTTAGCCCCCTTTGCTAATCTGCTGTCTGTTTTGGAAAGCTGTTTGTTTGCTATGCATTGAGGTGCCTCTTAAGCTATTGCAACCAAATTTTGCACAGTGGTTTCTGACATCAAGGAATAGGTTTTTATCTATGTTTGAATGCCATTGGATGCCATTTTGAATCAAGATGGCAAACTGAACCTTTCAGAGCTGCCATATTCTGCCTTGGTCAGACCATCCAGTTCTGGGCACCACAATTTAAGAAGGATATTGACAAACTGGAACATGTGCAGAAGAGGGCAACCAAGATGATTAAGGGTATGGAGGAACAGTTAAGGGAGTGGGGATTGTTTAGCCTAGAAAGGAGACTGAGAGGGGATATGATAGCCATCTTAAAATATCTAAAGCAGAGCTTTCCAAACTGTGTGTTAATGTGTCATGCAAATGTACCCTGCGCTCCTGCCTGGACTGGAAAGGGGTTAGTTTAACCTCTGGTTTGTTAGTAAACTGAATTACCGTGTCGCGAAATGATGCATGTCTAAAAAGTGTGTCACCAATGTGAAAAGTTGGGAAAGCTCTGGTTTAAAGGGCTGTCACATGGAGGATGGAGCAAGCTTGTTTTCTCCTGCTCTGGAGGCTAGGACTCGAACCAATGGATTCAAGACAGCAGATTCTGAATAAACATCAGCTGGAACTTTCTAACAGTAAGAGCTGTTCAACAGTGGAACAGACTCCCACAAGAAGTGGTGAACGATCTCCTTCCTGGGAGGTTTTTAAGCAGAGGCTGCCCTCTGCAGAGGTTGGATGGTCATCTATCATGTATGATCTAGTTAAGATATTCCTGCATTGCAGGGGTTGGACTAGATGACCCTCAGGACCCTTTCAACTCTAGGATTCTGTAACTTTGGCCACTGATTTCACAAATACACTGATTTTTTTAAATTTTACAAAATTCTCAAGCAACACCTGGCATGAGGCTTCCAGCTTTAAATGTTTGGTGCTAAAATAGTAAGCCTGCTGTCATAAATACACTTGCAGTGATTCCCATCTAGCTCTGTGGAACTCAAGACAACTGGGCTGTAGGATGTGTGCCTATGGTTGTTTACATGTACCTCAAGCTCTAATAAAATATTGTTATGCTAGTCCTTCCGTTAATATAGGAGACAAATGTGAAAACACAGATGCCTGATTCATGCAGCCCCCTCTCCTCCCTAACCTTTCTTAGGCTCCTGATGTCAGTCACAGCTCTGGCATCTTGTCTCACCAATGTAATGAGCACAAAATCCAAAAGATTCTACACGCTGAGAGCGTAGATCCTTCTTGAAATATTCTGATCATTGCAGGCAAAGGAGGAGCTTGTCTTCCTGTGTTTACAGTCCCTTTTCTTCCTGCATAGCATGGCAACATTTGATGTGCTTAGTTTCACTTTTCTTCTAGCCTGAGAGTCTGCTTCCCTTGTAGCTGTTGCTTTGTTTGAAAATTCCCCTAAGCAACAGAAGAAGCAGCTGTGACAAAGACACAGTTCAAAGCTATAGAGAGCCTGGGGGCAGGTGGACAGGGGAGAGAAAAGGTGCTGTGTTTGAATCTATGATGAATTGATGATTTGGGTCATGTTTGTTCAAATAAGCATCAATGACACTGGGAGTCAGCCTTAAAATTCCATAAAAGAATAACAGTTTGTAGCACTCAGACCCGTAATTGCCCAGAATCCCTTCCCCTTCTAATAAGGTTTATTGGAAATATGCTTAATGTAACTTGGTGAAATTTACTTCCAAATAAGTCACTTTGGGTTGGGGTGGAAGTGAAGCTGAGTATGATGGCCATAGGCACACCTGGACTTACCTCTATTTCTACTACTAATTGTGCATACAGTACTGTTAATTTGCAGAATTCCGCCCCCCCCCCTGTTTGTCTTTATCAGGAGGATAAAGTGAGGGAAGATCACTATTCTCATTGATAGATGAGAGGAACTTGTTCAAGTCTATAAAATGAATCCATACAGAGGTGGGACTTCGGTTCACCCCAAAATTCTAAATCTGCTCTACACAGTTTTTTATAGCATTCCTCAAGAGCAGCCACTAGTGTATCTCACTCGCTTGGGCCCAGATATAGACATGTTTATTGCTTATATTCTGGGAGCAGCTTAGAAGGAAATTTGACTGCTCACACCAGAGCCACAAGTCCACATGTAGATCCTTAACTGAGAAGAATTATCTTTTTTTTTTTTTCATTGCAAATGGCAAATCACCACGAAATGCTATGGAGCAGTCCTTAAAAACTGGAAACATACACAAAGTCCTAATGTACATTACTGCCTTTTAAAATACTTTTCCCTAAATCTTCCCATGCTTTGCTTGTTTTGTATTAACGTCTTCTTTTCACCTGGATTCAGGCTTTTAATGAACATTACAGCTAAAGCATTCATTTTCGTTTCATATCATATCTGGGGCTCTTACTTTTTTCTGGTTAATCCAGATTAATTGCTGCTTGAATGCTTGGAGAACTTTACTGGGGTATGATTCTCCAGTGTTCAAGCAGTGCTGCAGAGAATCATAGTGTGTGATCTGCATCCTGTCCCAGTTGTCTTGCTGCCTTTCCCCTGAGAACCCAGAAACCTTCAACATAGGCCAAGGCTGGAGAACATGTGGCCCTCCAGATGTTGTCAAACACCAGCTGCTGACCACCTGAGCCAGCATAGTCAGTGACGCTGGGTGGAGTTCCATTCCAGCAGCACCTGAAGGGCCACAAGTTCCCCATCCCTCATCCTAGTCTCCAATTGTGTTTAATTTTTGTCAAGTATTGGGGCAGAACCAGTGTTCGAAACTCCCATTGTTCTAGGTTCATTTTGCGACAGGGAATTTCATTAGCGTGAACAGTTTCTGAGCTTAGTACTGCGCCTAAGATTTCAGATTAAAACTGCAGAGTGGAAGGAAAGGAGGACCTTTTCCTGCCTCCGCACTTCCAGCTACTCTCTATAGACTGGAGAAGAGATTCTCTTAATAGTATTAAGGGGTGGGCAGGGGAAGGACTACACCATGTGAAAATTGAAGAAAAAAAAAGATTTTAGCTGCAGTTCATTCATTTTCAACTTTGTATTCTTGTTATAAAAAAGCGTGCCTAGACATTCCGTTGTCGTGCCCATAACCTAGGTTTAAGGTGCCATTTAGCTCCTAGCTTTCATATCTCAGTTTCTAACACTGGGCAGAACCAAGAAGCACTTTTTTATTCCAAGGAGTTCTGTTTCCTGTAAAGGCTTTTTGCATTGTTAATGCCTAACAAAATCTCTTCTCAAGGATTCGGGCCTCGCTCCTGTGGGTGATGTGCGGGATCCCAGACGCAGGATATGGTCCAAGAACAGAGACATTTCCCTCCCTGTCCCAAAGTTTAAGGTAAGCTACACCCCACCTGATCATGTATCCTTCTCCAAGTCTTCCAGATCCTCAGCACAGCATTGCTGCCACATCTTCCTTACCTGGAAGCCTGGTAAATGTTCAGGAGTGGCCAAGTGTATAGCTTTATGTCAGGCTGTAAATTAATTGACTGAATTCTACCATAACTAGTTAACCTGGGATTTGCTTACATTTCTGGCCATCTTGAGGAAAAGACAGATTGTGGGAAATCTGATAATTGAGTGTGTGAAGTACAAATATATGTCCTGATCTGCCTTGACCTTGGGGCTAAAAGACAGCAATTGTGTCTTGGAGAGAAAAGTTATTGAATTCAATCTTAAGAGGAGAAATGTGATGGAAGGGAGGTTTGGGAGTGCAGGAAAGAGGAATGGCAAATAGAACTGCATGTCTTTTCATTCTTGTACTCATTGCTGAGTTCTTTGAATATGTTGTTGTGAAATGTCAGTGGGTGATGATTGTGTACCTCCACAGGGAAAAGCTGGATTCAAAAAACAGTTGAAAATTCTTCAAAGGGGGAAAAGCTCCAGAATTTGCCTTCATAACAAACTGGGCAGATTAAGAATATCTAAAGTTCATTGACTATAACAAATTGTCTGGATTCATGCAGATATGGTGATTTTTTCTTGGGAAATTGCTAGGGTGGTAGTGGGGGGCAGGGAAATGGTGTGTGTTTGAGGTTATCTTGTCTTGGGTGGAGTTTGACAAGCATAAAATAGGAGGTTCAGGAATCTTGAATGCACTGATGAAGGGTCCACCCAGGAGTTCTGCAATCTCTGAACCTCCATTGGCAGCCCATTTTAAAGCTTTTGCTGACAATCCAGAGCATTGGATGATTTTTCTTAATTATTGGGGTGGGGGGTATGCTCTTTGGCAATTGATTTAGCCCCCTCGCCCCATCTCCCCTTTTGTTTCTTCTGCAGCTGGATGAGTTCTATGTGGGTCAGATCCCTCTGAAGGAGGTGACCTTTGCCCGGCTCAATGACAACATCAAGGAGCCCTTCCTGGCGGACATGTGCAAAAAGTATGGAGACATTGAGGAGATTGAGATCCTCTACAATCCGAAGAACCGCAAGCACCTGGGCCTGGCCAAGGTGCTCTTCACCAGCACAAGGGGAGCCAAGGAAACAGTCAAGAACCTGCACAACACTTCGGTCATGGGCAACATCATTCATGCTCAGCTCGACATCAAAGGTGCTTGTCCTCCTCCGGCCATACTCTCAGTTCAGTCGTGCCACCTCTGATTCAGAGTAGTTCCCCTTTCCAATAAACGGCTTTTCTCTCCACAGGTCAGCAGCGAATGAAGTATTACGAACTGATTGTGAATGGCTCCTATACACCCCAGACTGTCCCCACTGGAGGCAAAACACTCAATGAGAAGTTCCCAGCGGACTCGGTGAGTCTGCTAAAGTCTCACATTTGAATCATCCAGGTTTAGGGCCACTTTTTCACAGGAATCCTCATTGAAGGATTTTCTTCTGTGTCCAGGATATGATCCTCATTCCTCATAAAAAAAATAGCCATCCTTTGACTCTCTTCCCCTCCCACCACTACTCCTCTGTCTTCCCTCTCTGCACTGCCTGTCCACAAGGCTTCTGCCACCTGCTGGTTGTCAGTACCCATAGGAAAACAATGCTCAAGTCCTGCTCCTTTGCTAAATGATTGGTATTTTCCCTCGGAGGGGGGCTACATCCAAGTCAGCTTGGAATTAGCTACATGACTGGTCCCCATATTTCAGTCTAGGTGGGACTGCATGGTGAATAATCTGCTCTCAATCCTTCCCTTTTGCAGTCAGAGTCCCGAAGGCGCCACTCAACAGACTCCTCATACGCTAGTAACACAATGCCTTCAACGCCTGGCAATGGCACACCTTCCTCTCAGGACACTCCTTATTCCAGTGGTAGGCAGGATACACCTTCTTCGTATGGCCAGTACACGCCACAGTCGTCCCAGGGGACACCATACACTCCCCGGGGAGGGACGCCATATTCTCAAGATTCTGCTTATTCCAGCAGGTGGGTGATTTATATGTATATCTGCCCTAAGCCCTGGGGGAGTGATCTCAGTGGCATTGCATCCTTGAGCCGGCCTGTCAGGGCTGGCTAAGTGGGAGAGAGCAAAGACTGGTCACTCATGGTATTGTCTCTTCTTAATTTTCCTCCTCAAGGCAAGGGACTCCAGGCTACTCAAGCTACCAGCCAGAGTCAACATCGTACAAATCCCGCCGACATGAGAACAGCTTTCCAGACTCGTACTCGCGTCGGCATTATTCTTCTTCGTCCTCTTCCTCCTCCTCCTCGTGCTCTTCTTCCTCCTCCTCCCACTTCCGTAGCAATGACCATCACTACCCTCCCTACAATCAGCAGTTTGACGGTGGCAGCGGTGGCGCCGGCAGTGCTGCCACAATCAGCAGCAGCAGCCGGTACCAACGCCTCTCATCCACCTCAGAAGGGCGCCCGTCTTCTTCCACCCCCTCCTCTTCCACCCCCTCCTCCTCTCATCGCTCCCACCAAAGAGAGGACTCTGGTTTCCATTCCCGGCACAGGGAGCGCTCCCAGAGGGAGGAGGCGACTCCTTCCTCCACCGTCAGCACCCCCACGGTCACCACCACCCCCTCCTCCTCTTCGTCGTCTGTGGCCACCCCAGCCCCAGATAGTGCTCAATTCCAGAACAGCCACAGCTTCACTCAGCAGAGTGCAGAGCCCTTTCCAGCACCCAGCGTTCTCTACCCACCGTACACAGCCACTCCGGAGCCTTTCTCCCTTCCCGTGGAACCCCTTGCAGTGGACCAGGACTATCGGCTGCTCCCCACAGCCGAGACTTTTGCTGCCAACTCCTTGCCTCCTACCGAATTTCTTGCTCAGGAAACTAAAGAGAACACCAGCCCAGCAGTAGCAACCATTGCAGGGGCCGATGACCGGTCCCATTCCCCTGCTGTGCAGACCTCGCCGGCCCGGTCTGGCTCCCCTGCGCCTGAAACTACCAACGAGAGTGTCCCTTTCACTCAGCACAGCAGCTTGGACTCCCGCATTGAGATGCTGCTCAAGGAGCAAAGGTCCAAGTTCTCTTTCCTCAATTTGGACACGGAAGAGGAAGACGAGGAGAAGGGAGGGCCCAAAGGAGTGGAGCCGCATGGGCCCTGCACTCCACCGCCTCCCCTTCCTGTCAGTTTTGAAGATGTGGTGCCGGCGCTGGACGTGGGAGCAGGAGCAGAATCTCCCAAAGCCAATGGACAAGATAGAGTAAGTTCTGAGGATTTTGAATGTGGCAACTTTTTTTGGGGGGGGGGGGTGGAGCTCAGTGAAAGACTGAGCCAGCTCCTTGACCATAGAATATTGAGTGACTTGAGAGGGGTGGGATGCAGTGGAATATTCTGAAAGAAGGTAAAGGTGGCAGGCTGGAACCTTGAACACAAATACAGTACTCCACACGGCACTCCACATGTTTGGATGTGTGTCACATAAATTCAGCAGTCATGTTTGCTGCTCTTGCAGATCTTGGGTTTTGAACCATTAGAAATGTTTGTTGGGACAGTAAACAGGGCATTGATGATGAACTGTAGGGAGGTGCTGATTGCAGAAATCCTTGCACAGGTATCATCTCATCTCCTGAATATCAGCCTTCTTAACAGATGCTGCATCCAGCTTTCTAAGATTTTATGCAAAGTCACGAGGGCTAGGAACTTACCTAGGTATCTTTGGTGCCTTAAGAATTGGGAGAATGAGAGATAACTTGAGGCTAGGGTTTTTATATTTGACTTTGCCGGCATCATGAATCTGTTTCAAGATTATTATTACTATTATTATGTAGTGTGAATAATTGAATGATATTGTTGGGATTAGACAGGTAGAAAGACAGGCCTGCAGGAATGGGGGATAGTGGTTTGGGAGGTGGTTTGCAGCAATTGCTTTCAGGGAAATGGGTGGTGCATGCTGCAGAAGCCAGACAATTGGCTCACTGTGCTATCTCCCTCTCTCCCCTTCTCCGCCCAAATAAGGCATCTCAACAATCTTCAGGTGAAGACATGGAAATCTCTGAGGATGAAGCAGAGGTCGAACCCCCAACCCCTGTGGCAGGGGTGTCTGAACCCCATTTTTCTGTGATGCCGTCAGCCCTGGGCCACATGCAGCTGGGCGTGTCCTCCTTTACCCCCCACCACCGACCAGAGCCGCCCCCCGCCTACCCAATACAGCCTCTCATGTCCGTCTCCCTCCCGCATTTGGCGGGCAAGACCCACTCGCTCTCCAACTACGGCCAGGTTGGCCTACGGCATGCTCACCGCCTCTCAGACTTCAGAGGGCGCGCGGGAGTGGTGGGCGGAGGCCGGGGTGCCCCCCACATCTACGACTTCGTCAACTCCATGGAGCTGATGAACCGGCTGGGCAACCAGTGGGGCGGGATGCCCATGTCCTTCCAGATGCAGACGCAGATGCTGAGCCGCCTGCAGCAGCTGCGTCAGAGCAAAGGCCAGTTTGAGGACCCTTTCCCCTACCACCGGGAGGCGGCTTCTTTCTGCGGCCGCCCCCTCTACGGCCACGGCTACCTACTGGACCAGGCGAACCGCCACTTCCAGAGAGACCAGCTGTTCATGCAGCAGCCGTCAGCAGTGGGGGCCTCGGAGCAGCAGCAGCCGCAGCAGCATTCCTCGGAGCAGCCCCCTCTGCCACCCCCACAGCGCCTCCTTGATTTCCGGGCCTCTCCATGGGGATACCAGGAGGAAGTGGCTCCACCCCCACCTCTTCCCAAGGACCCCCATGCCTCCGTAGTGGACAGCGTCCTTGAGACACTCATGCAGGAGATGAAGAGCATCATGCAGCGTGACCTCAACCGCAAGATGGTGGAGAACGTGGCTTTCAACACCTTTGACAAGTGGTGGGAGCGCAAGGAGGAGAAGGCCAAGGTGATTGGGCGGGGGAGGCGGGGGAAGCTACCAAGAGCCCCAGTCTTGGAAGGGGTGTAGGGCTGAGACACGATTCCTAACTCTTAGGGATAGGGTGGTGAGGGGGGTCGTGGGGATTTGGGAGAGCTGTGGGGCCTTCTTTGCCGCGAGTGGTATGAAAGGCTTAAGTTTAAGCAAAGATCACCAGTGTCGAAGCAATGATTCTTCAACATCAACTTTGTTGGACTCGTTAGGTTGTACGAATGCTTGATTATCATCTTCCAAAGCAAGTACAGTGGTACCTCGGGTTAAGAACTTAATTCGTTCCGGAGGTCCATTCTTAACCTGAAACTGTTCTTAACCTGAAGCACCACTTTAGCTAATGGGGCCTCCTGCTGCTGCCGCTGCACTGCCGGAGCATGATTTCTGTTCTCATCCTGAAGCAAAGTTCTTAACCTGAGGTAATATTTCTGGGTTAGTGGAGTCTGTAACCTGAAGCGTATGTAACCTGAGGTACCACTGTACAAGCCTCGCTTCTGCAACCTCAGGATGGCAGCGATGCTTGCAGGATGGCATGTGGGGAAGTAGAAGCTTAGCAGAGGCATGAAGTGTGTTGGAGGCAGCAGGGTGGATTAGTAAGGAGATTTGGATGAGGATGTAGGAACAGGACAAATGGGTATGAAGAGACACAGGGAATGTGGAGCAGATAAACCTAATGATATATCTGCATTTAGGAAATCAATCTGTCTGCATACATGGATAGAAAGGGTGCTGTTTAATCAACTTTGACAGACGCTGCTAAAATCATTCTTATCAAAAGTCTCTGTGTTCTGCTCCTTTTGAGCATGTGACTTACCAAGGGTTTGCTGCTCTGCCTACTCCTCATCCCAGATCCCAAACCCTCTTCCTCAGCCTCTCATCACTGCTGCTAATGCCCAGCTCTCATTATCTGCAGCCTTTCCAGAGTACTGTCAAGCAGCCAGTCAAGGAAGAGGAGAAAGACAAGACAAAGCTGAAAGACCCTGCCCTGCTGTCCCTGGTTGACTGGGCCAAGAGTGGCGGCACTGGTGGCCTGGAAGGGTTTGGCTTTGGGACTGGCTTTCGAGGAGTTCTGGGACTCCCATCCTTCAAGGTGAGGGCCATGGATCTTCTTGGGTTGGCTGTGGCAGCCATCCAGCTTCAGGATCTGAAAACCTTGTTTTGTTCAGGAGGCTATAAGTGAGATGGGGGTCATAAGATACAAAATCTGGTTTGAGCACTTGCTTGAGTGATGGCTCTCTAAGCCCTTCTCATCTCAGGGATCCTCTTGTTCCAGGTGAAAAGGAAAGAGCCATCCGAAATCTCGGAGGACAGCGAAGTGAAGCAGCCACACCCATCTACTCTTGCTGAAGAGGATGAGGAAGGTCGGTTCCTTCAGCCCTGGATAGTTATGGGTGATGGTTGAACTTTTTTTTCATAATTAAGGGAGTGTTTTCTATCCTTAAATTAACTCAATCTTACCCTCCCTCTCCCCTGTTCCACCTTGCAGATAAGGATTCCTCACAGGTACCCAAAAGCTCCAAGAGGGATGATGAACGGATCAAAGGGCCGGGAAAAAGGCGGAAACTTTTCTGCCTGGATAGCGAGGGAGAGGAAGCATCTGAGGATTCATCCTCTGAGAAGGTGAGAAGAAGGCGCCCCTTATTTATTTGTTTAGGTTTAATTTATACACTACTTGATTGTAAATGGAACCTCAAAGCAGTTTGCATTTTGGCTGTTCCTACCACTATGAGAAACCTCTGGTACAGCCTTCTCAACCGTGGGTCTCCAGGTGTTGTCGGACTACAACTCCCATCATCCCTGGTCAATGATCCTACTATCTAGGGATGATGGGAGTTGTTGTCCCGCAATGTCTGGGGAGCCAAGGTTGAGAAAGGCTCCTCTAGCCAGTTTCAGTTTCCCCCAGCGATCGGCCAGGACGCAGCATAAAGCAGTTGAATAGGTCTTTGCGGTAGAATTCTTAAATAGCTTGGATCCTAGAGCTCCCCTTTCCCCCACTGTGCCTGACCAGGTGCCTTGTTGGATCCGGACCAGGACTGCACTCCTCCTTTCCTCCAGTCTTAAATGGCCACCCCCTGCGAAGCCCTTCGGTGTGCCATCTCTCCTCCGTGGCTGTCAATGAGCACAGAGCCTGATGAGCATTCTACTACTCACTTAGCTATGCTGTTATGCCCTTGGCACAGTTGGACTGCTTGACTGCCATTTGCTGCTAGGTTTCCAGGCCCTCCCTTTTCTTCTGCGTCTTCTCCCCCATTCGATCTCTGCTCCCTTTTCTTCAAGCAGCCGAGGCAGCTGTGAAAGCGAAATCACTTTCCAGTTGCGCTTGTAGCCTCAAGTCATTCCGCAGGACTTGAGTTCCTTTTTGAAGTCATGCCCTCTTCAAGCCACTCTGACTCAGGAGTTTGAGCTGACATTTTGCCATGCGTACCCTTTCCTGCTGCTAATGGGCTTGTTAAAAGATTTCGCCCCCTGAGAAACATTTTATGCTGCTGTCTTCACAGGAGGAGGAGGAGGAGCGGAGGGAGGAAGGTGAAGGTTCTAGGGAGCGCGGCACGAAGAAGGAGGAATCTGAAGGTATTGACAGTTGCCAGTTACCAGAAATGATGAATTGCCGTCACTAACATTGTCCTTAATAACAGGCTGTTGACTTAGGTGGAGATGAAAGATAGCAGGGTCTTTTCTAATCCGTGTGCTTCTTTTGGTATGAATCATACCCCTTCTGCGTGTGGTTTCCCTATCAATGCAAGTGGCATCTCCCTTTACTCTGTTATTGAAGCACTCAGGACACTTCTCTGCTGAAAAGCCAGCTGGTCATCAGCACTTGGCAGAGCTTCTGGGTTTTTTATATACTCAGTACTTAAATCCCTCCTTCTGCAAAGCTAAATGTTGCAACCTGTGGAAAATATGCAAATCTGGCCATATTTTTATTTGCACCATTGGATTTAAAAAATGTTTTACATAATTCTGCTTTTGCTAGTCATAGGGAGGGGCAAGGAATTTTGTGGATCATTGAAAACCCCACCCTCTGCAAGAAATGTTGTTCAACTGTCTCTCCAGCCTTTGACATTTCAGTAGGCTCCACCATGACCATGTGCTTTCAAGTGTATCTTTGCAGCCATGGGGTGGTATTAAACTAAGTCCTACTCAGAGTAGACCTGTTGAACTAAATGGACCTGTTGCTCATATCTAGTAACTTCAATGGGACCACCTGTGAGGACTAGAAATTGTGTGGTTTTTTTAAAAAAATTAAGTGGCAGCTGAAATAATTTCAGAAACTATACTTTGGACAAAGACCACACTCTGCTCTCTTCCTGTGCTATGCGTGGGAGTGTGAAATGCTCACAGCCATGTTGCTGGTCTTACCTGTCCCCTTTTATCCCTTGTGCAGATGAAGGTGAGAGCGACGGCTCCTCCAAGTATTCTCTCTATGACGAGTCTGATGAGGACAGCGACAGCACTTCTGATTCAGAGAGCAGCTCTTCGTCTTCCTCTTCCTTGTCCTCCTCTTCATCTGATGAGGAGGAAGCTGAGAGCATGGAGGAAATGGACGAATCTACCATGGACAGCTGCCCCACCGAGCCACTGAGAGACCTGGAAGAGAGAATGCGTCAAACTGCAGACGCTGAGCTTGACAAGAAGAAAACAGAAGCAGGCCTGCTCCAAGGTGAGATGCTCTACCCAGAGTCCTCCCCAGCTCTGCCTGGGAGATGGGGAAAGTGTTGAGAGCAGCGTTGGGAGGCCAAGATGTGGATTGGCATGTTTGCACTCATTATCTTACCAAACGACTGGTGAGCCACATATACGTTGTCCCAACATTGTCCCACTTCCATGGCTTTCAGTTCCTCCTCTATCTTGATGCCACCCAGCTCTACCGCTCCAGCCCAGAACTTCTGCCTCCATCCAGTGAGAGATGTCTGCTTGGATGTTTCATTATCATTTCAAGCTCAGTATGTCAAAGACTGGCTCACCTCATATTTTCCCCAATCTATTCTCTCATTATCTATTGACAGCGTCACAATCCACTCTGTTGATCAGAAGCAAGCCTTGGTTTTCCCTTTGGTCCTCCTTAATCAATTGCCAAATCATGTCATTTTCCCCTTTACAATATTACAGAAATTGGGCCCTTCCTCTCTCTCCTCAGCCAAAACTCTAGTCCAGCTCCTGGTGGACTAGAGTTTTGGCTGAGGAGGGAGAGGAAGGGCCCAATTTCTGTAATATTGTAAAGGGGAAAATCTCCATATCTCACAACACAACTGCTACAATTTTCTCTTTGGTTTTCCATCGACTCACTGGTTTTCTCTCTTGCCAATATTATTAACCTCCCCCACTGCTTCCACCCTATTTAAATTATACCACTGCTTGCTTGTTGGCTTTCTTTCCTGCACAGTCTCCTTGTTCTCACCTTAAAAATTGGTGACCCCACACTCACCAGTGCACAATTTATCTCCCTCATGCAGGCCATGTGGCAGAAGAGAAGCCTGCTCCTCTGAAGGATGGCACCCTGGCCCCGCATCTAGAGGAGAAGGATGTTGGGACGGCGCCAGAAGAGCGACCCAGGCCGGAAGAGCGACCTTCCTCACCTATCCCACTCCTGCCACCACCCAAGAAGCGCCGGAAAACAGTCTCCTTCTCAGCTCCTGGTGAGGATGACGAGATCAAGGTGGCATTTGAGAAGCCACTGGAACCGGCTCCTTCAACGCTTTTGCCTCCGCCGCCTCCTCTTCCCCCACCACCTCCGCCGCCTGTCCCCACAGAGGTAGCACAGGCCCCCTTAGTGCCTGTAGAACCCATGTTACCATCCCAAGTGCCCTTAACCCTGGAAGCCCCAGCTCCAGTTGCCTCTCCCCTGCCTCCTGTAGCGCCCCCTGCCAAGGCAGCAGCCCCTGCCAGCCGCAAGAGGGAGCCCCCCAAAGCCAACCAAAGAACAATCAGCAACCTGCCGGCTGACCACGCTTCCCTGGTGAAGTGTTGGACGGATGAGCTGCTTCCGCCTGGCCGGTCCCGGAGCCGCTCTCGCTCTCGGAGCTCAGAGCTCCCACGGGTGCCCCAGCCCCCTGGGGAGGACAGGCTGCACCTGCGCGAGCGGATGGGCGTTTCCTCGCTGCTGGAGCTGGCGAATCAACCCAACCTGGCCGTGCTGGCGGATGTGGCGCTGAAGAAGGCCGGTGCAGGCAGTGAAGACTCCGAGGAGACGGAGACCTCTGACGAGGCCGAGGAGCCCAAGGCCGTGCCGCCGGTCCCCGCACTGCCCCCGGAAGTCAGCAGCATTCTGATGGAGCATAACTACGCCATGGCTGTCCGCGCAGCACCTGCCTCCCGCAAAGCCGACGAGGCGGTGTTGTCTGGCGCCGCTGACCTGCCGCGCGTGGATTTGTACAGCGAGCACATTGGCGAGGTCCTGGAGGCGCCTGAGGAGGTTGTGGCTGATGCCAGTGAGGTCAAAGCTGAGCCTGACGTGGATGACCTGGTTTCGCTGCCCCCGCCTCCGCCAGCCGAGAAGCCCAAGGCAGCTGTTCCACAGCAGCAGCAGCAGCAGCAACCACCACCCCAGGCCAAGAAGCAGCCCCAGTGGCTCAAGGAAGAGGCCCTAAAGGACCTGGGGAACTTGCACTTTGGGCCTGAGGACCTGTTCCTTTCAGAGAGTGAGGAGGAGGAGGAAGAGGAGGAGGAGAGTGCTGACAGCAGCGACGAAGGGGAGATCCGCAGGCGCTCCCTGCGCTCCCACTCGCACAAGCATGCCCCTGCTCAGCCACCTCCGCTGCCCCTGGCCTTTGAGACACGCAGTGAGTTTGAGCAGATGACAATCTTGTATGACATCTGGAACTCAGGGCTAGACCTGGAGGACATGAAGTACCTGCGGCTGACGTACGAGCGCCTGCTGCACGAGGACAACAGCACGGACTGGCTGAACGATACCCACTGGGTCCACCACACCAATATCCTTCCTGGAGCAAATGGCAGGCGATTCTGGAGGGTTGGGGGCCGGGTATCTTTGCTGCGAATGCATCTTGGGGTTATACCATTTTGACTAGCAGGGCTTCCTCCACTGACATCTGGGAATTGTAGTTTGGTGAGGCCTGCTGCTACCGAGAATTCTGTTTTAAGATCTGTAGCTGCCCTCCCCTATAGTGCTGAAATTCCCTGGGAAGAGGAATTGACTGCTCAACCAGTTTATAGTGTTGAGTATACCTTGGGGCTTTCCATCATCACTGTTGGGTTTTTGTTTGTAGAATATGAAGAGTTCATAAAATATTAAGGATAGCATGTTGATAGACTTTGTTAGCTCTGCAGTTGTTGCCCCTTGTTTAACAAGGCCAGCAGAGGCATTGGGGGCAGCAGGGTTAGGTTGCAGCTGCTGAAATTCCTAGCATTTAGCAGTTGTCTTGCGAACATTTCCCAGTTCTGCAATAGTTGGCAGGTTGTGCCATCATCACCATTATTGTGTTCCATGCTAAAGATTCAGAAAGGTGAGTGGTGAAAGTGAAGTTCAGTTTTTCTGGGGGGGGGGGGGTTAAAGCAAAACCTGTAATCTTTAGAAATGAAAAGCCACAAAAGAGGGAACGGCATGAGAGTCTGTTTTACACTATGGTTACTTTTGTGGGTTTGGGGGCAGTTGTTGTTATAACAAGATAAGAAATTGGGAAGCTTTAGTTGGTTGCATCCAAAGAAGTCATTGTGCGAGGGGAAGGATTTCCACTTGTGCAGTGGAATTTCCCTTCCCTCTCCTCCCCTTCCACCCGCCAAATATGCTCGGGGGGGGGGGTTCCCTATACCCTCAGGAGCAGATGGAGAGGGAGAGAAGGTCCATTGCATGAATGGAAGTCATTACACTCACCCAGTAATTTCCTGAATTCAACTCCATGCCTCTTCCTTGCCCCGCCCCGCCCCCCCCCCCGTCATTTCTTCCAGGAGGCATGTGGTTTAATTCTGCTAATGGAAGAGATGCATGTATGGCAACCTTTTCACCAAGGCTTCTGAAGAGGGGAAGTTGCTTGCTTGGCCCAAACACAAGATGCAGAAAGAGGCCTGTGTCCCATTTCCTTGCTCCATGCTTTTCTTTTTCTCCTTAACTCTCCCCGCCTCCACTCACAAACATTGCGAACCCCAAGCGGAAGCGGAAGTCGTCAGACCTGCGGGAGCACCAGACAGGCTGTGCCCGCAGCGAGGGCTATTACCATATCAGCAAGAAAGAGAAGGACAAGTACCTCGACGTCTGCCCGGCCACCGTGCAGCAGCTTGATGCTGCTGACGTGCAGGTTAGACCCCTCTTTATGCTCCCTGTGCGGTTTTTTTCTTTATTTCCCCCCCTAAAAACTAGGTGCGCCCTATAGTCTGGTGCGTCCTATGGTGCGAAAAATACGGTACCCTGTAAATAACATGGATGCTGCCCTCATCTTCATGCCAAATTTTCTGCAGTGCTTTAAGAGGCTTTTTATTGTGGCAAAAAATGCCTTCTTTAGTTCCACATAAGCATCAGTCCGCAATAAGCATGTACCTTATATATCAGCAGTTTTGTGTGCAGGTCCAAACTGACTTGGGAGCAACCAAAAGTTTGCAGGCAGGTCAGCCTAATGACCCCTGCCCCCCGCCCAGTCCTCTTCTCTCACTGGGTCTGAGAGAACTGGGAGTGGAATAGGAAGAGATTTGTTGCCTGTGCAGTTTGAAGGGTCCCACAGTAATCAAGAGAAGCAGGGGCTGACTAAGAATCTAAAGGAGGTGCTTGTGCATGTATAAGAACATGGGGTGCTGCTTTCTATTGAGTCAGACCATTGATCTGTCTAGCTCCCATGAGCACTTTTGAATACTGACAACATAAAATGCGAAAAGGCGGGGGAGTCTTCTCATTTTGAAAGTATCTTGTTTGATAGTAGTGGGAAGTTACAGTACCATTCTTACTGCTTCCTAAGCATGCTGACCACCCTCACTGAAACTGGGTAAATGTGCAGCTGGGATAGTGAGCCGCTTTTAAAGGGTGTCCCTTTCCATATGTGTGACTCTGCAATGATCCTCGGTGGTGTGTTCCCCTTCCGCTGTGAGCAGAAGGATTTTGCTTTCATTCATTTTCAACCAGTTCTCCCCTCCTCCTTCAGGGCACCAACCGCATCCTGTCCGAACGGCGATCTGAGCAAAGGCGCCTGCTCAGCGCCATTGGCTCCTCCGCCATCTTGGATAGCGACCTTCTGAAACTAAACCAGCTGAAGGTACCCAATATGTCTTGTTAAGCAAGTTGAAAGAGTGGAGCAAGCAGGAGATGCGCCCTTGGCTGGGGGGATTAGGAGTGTGATCCTAGTATATCCTTTGGAAGGCAGAGGGCAATGGACTTGGCCTGGCATGCATTTCAGATGCTGAGGCTTCCCAGAATTGGGCATGGAGGGCTTCTCAGTAGGGGGTGGCTTTCCTCACAGAGCCAATCTTGATCCCCGTGATGTGCACATTACACTTTAGGAAGCAAGGAAGCTTTTGGACAAAGATTTTGTCTGCGGTTCACCGAAAGCAATTGAAAAGTATCTGTAAGCTCAGATTTAATTGTTTGAGGGACTCCAGATAATGCAGTTGGCACAAGATCTTATCTGCTGTAGCTGAGTCTTTGCAGAATTTGGCTCTCCGCTATTGGAAATCGCATTGTGGGGGGCTATGAGTGTGTTAGGAGTGTGAGGGGAAATGACGGGTTAATTGGAGTATAGAAACCATATATTTTGAGCCATGGCAACCTATCCACTTATACAGTGGTACCTCAGGTTACATATGCTTCAGGTTAAGAACTTTGCTTCAGGATGAGAACAGAAATCGTGCTCCGGTGGCGCAGCAGCAGGAGGCCCCATTAGCTAAAGTGGTCTTCAGGTTAAGAACAGTTTCAGGTTAAGAACGGACCCCCGGAACGAATTAAGTACTTAACCCGAGGTACCACTGTAGTGTGGTTTTAAGTGACTCTTTGTCGGTGGTGAAGCATGTGTGCATTGAGCAGCAATCATCAGGCAACGTTTTTCTAGAAAGCTGAGGACTAAATAATCTTGGAGGTTTTTTTTAACAAAGAAATGTCTGGAATCCAGATTGTATGCTGTGAGTTTTGCACAAACATGCACACCCAGCCTAGCCCTCGGCTCCCATCTGTCCCAGACAGCACATAAGTATCCCGCTGCTTCTCCCATACCCATCATTCCTCTCCTCACCGTCCTCCTCTTCCCTTTAGTTCCGCAAGAAGAAGCTACGCTTTGGTCGGAGTCGAATTCATGAATGGGGCCTCTTTGCCATGGAGCCAATCGCTGCTGATGAGATGGTCATTGAGTACGTGGGTCAAAATATCCGGCAGGTGAGCAGTAGTGGAGGAGACGAGGTCTTTGAAGGAATTATTGTTTCTGCTGCCTTGATGTCTTGTGCGAGCCTGTCTTTATAACATGAGAACACCAGCCTTGGTCCACAGCCTTGGTCATATTGTTTTATCTTGTGTTTAAAAACAATCGTTTCTGAAAGCTAAACATCATAATGTGGCTGGATTGCTCCCATCCCTCACAGAAGCATTCTGGCTTTGTATGGCTGGTATTTAAAGGTGGTGATGCCAAAGTTGGTGGTGATGCCAAAGGGTGGCTGCAGATATCTCTCTACATGTTTTTTGTACCTCTGATTGTATTGCCTTAGGAGAGCTTTGTCCAGGATTTCACCACTACTTTGGTTTTTGAAAGATGACCCCTTCCCTAAACCTGTCGTTTCCCCTGTATTTTCTTGTATTATCTGTTTTTTTAAAAAACAACAACAACAAAGGCTTGTGGGTAGGGGACTGTGACCAGTGGGCTAGTGCAGTGGGGAAGTAGTGTGGAAAATACCAAAAGAAGTAAGCTTGGGGTCTGTGAGGTTGTTTACTGAACTGCATTTCTTCATCAGAGGCCATGAAATGTATGCATGCATATGCAACCAATTGACACCAGAGGGTGCTCTGGAGACTGCACAGAGCAGGGCTGCCTTTTCATTACTGCCTTAGGAGGACCTGTTTGCTTCCTGAGTGACAGTTCAGATTGTTCCAACCTTTTTTGCAGCGACACCCAAGGAATTTCCTTCCCAAATGATAGCCACGCTTCTGAGAAGCACTGCACTGACAGCTGTCAATTTGCACTTTGGCACTGGGAAAGTTCCTTAACTGTTTTCAGAGGGCTGCAGCAAAAAGGAGTCTTGATGGCACCGTTAAGACTAACTTTATTATGGCACAAGCTTTTATGGACAGGTCCTCACCTCATGTACCTGATGAAGTGGGCACTAGCCTGCAAAAGTGCATTACACCATTTTTTTATTAAGCTTAGTTTAAGGTGTCTCAAGACTCTGCAGTTCTTTCTCTGTTACCCAGCACCAGATGCTGGCACATTCCACCTCCTGGATCAGAGGTGGGGGAACCTTTTGGCCCAGCAGGCAAGCCTGGTCATCTCTCTCTATGGCCAACTTTGACAGGCATTTTGACGGACAGAGCAGCCTTGCTTCTTGTTACATGGTCCGCTCTTGAGTGCCCTGACTCACTCCTCCTCCTTCTCAGGTGGTGGCTGACATGCGCGAGAAGCGGTATGCGCAGGAGGGCATCGGGAGCAGCTACCTTTTCCGCGTGGACCACGACACAATAATCGACGCCACCAAATGTGGCAACCTAGCCCGCTTCATCAACCACTGCTGCACGGTGAGCTATGTGGACATTGTAAAGGAAGTTCTCATTAAATGCAATCATTCATGCAATGTTTTTAATGAACCTACCACTTTACAGAGTTACATGAGCCAGAGAACAACTCCAGTTTAATTTAGCTGCATTATTCTCATTTTCAGGTAGACTAAGTTGCCCCTAATGTGCCTGCTTCCATGAAAAGTCAATAAATCCTGACTGGGGCACTGGGAGCAGCTCTGAATTCTAGAAAGAAGCCCTGGGCTGCTGGTTCAGAGAGTGGGGAAGAGGCTTCCTGGGCCTCCCTTGGTTCACCCTTGTTACTGGCACTTCTCTAGCTTCACATGCAGTGGTTCTGGTATGCTATTGCATTCCACACACTTTGGGAATCACAAATGGAACCTTTTTTGTGTTTGGGGGTGTGTGCTCCTGACTTCCAAACGAGTAATATAGTGAGCTAGTGAGGTGGTGGTGCTGCCATTGGCATAGAGCTGACGTATTAACATCCTGTCCGGTTCACTTTTGTCCATCTTTCCCTCTCTTAGCCCAACTGCTATGCCAAAGTCATCACCATAGAATCCCAGAAGAAGATTGTCATCTATTCCAAGCAGCCCATCAGCATCAACGAGGAAATCACTTACGACTACAAGTTCCCGATTGAGGAGAACAAGATTCCTTGCCTGTGTGGCACAGAGAACTGCCGGGGCACCCTGAACTGAGACGTAACCCTGGCGCTCGTATTTATTTTGTTTCCCCAGCCCTAATCTCGCCTCTCACCCGTAGCTCAGCTCTTCTCCCCACAGAGTTGTGGGAAAACTCTCAGTCGCCTTAAGACCCATCCATGTACCTTTTAAAGCTCCCAGCCAATGAGAAAGCACTTCCCTCGCCTCAGGTTCGAATCAACAAGAAGTTCCTTTTTCTTCCACCAGCCAGGCTGGTGATAGTTTCTTTTCAGGTGTTGCTGTCATTTTTGCTCCAGCCTCCAACACCAATTAACAAAACTCCTGTAGATTCTGACCCTTTGCAGAAGTCAAATATCCTTCCCTTTCCAGCTTAAGACGGCCTGGATGTTAGTGTGGTTAATTCTGCAATGCCCACCAGCTCTGTTGCTAAACTCAGAGAATGGCTTACGATATTGAGGAAATCAGCAGGGTGGCTGTGGGGTGGAATTTCCCTTCTAGGTATCATCTATTTCAGGTTATGCATGCTCAGCGCACAGCTGTCGATTAGCTGTTGACTTTGAGAATGGCAGGTTGGGATCAGTGCCTCCTGTGAAACCTTTTGAGGCAGTGCAGTGCTGATGCCCCTGAGGGCACATCTGCTAGAGCTAAGAGCTGCGCAGGCCCTTGAAATTTCAGATTGTGGAGCATTTGTCCTCACATTTCCAAAGGGTTTGGGGGGGGGAGGTTTCCTGGTTTTTTGACAGAGAGGCCTAGAACAACCCCTGCCCCTGGGACTTTGTTCTGGGGTTAAAGATTGCTCCCAAAATCTTTCTGCTAATGGCCAGGATGCACTGGGGGATGGGGGGAAGCATGTCATTGTCCAGCCGCGTCATTCAGCTAGATTTGTCACCATGGGCAAAAACTTGAACCTTCCTGCTTCAGTGTCTCTCTCCTCATAGAATTATCATCCCGTTAATTCTTCCTCCTTCCAAGCTCTTGCGGCCAGAGAAATAGAGGTCCTGAAAACCAGTTAAGATTGTGTCATTCATATTGCAATCTCCCTTTCCTGACTCTTTTTTTATTCTGTAACGTGTAGTAAAACAGGGGGGACAGGGACTAGCCGTAATAATGAAGGGGAGTTGAGTTTCTTTCCTTGTTACAGTTATGGCTTCAACTGATGCTGACTTACAGCGTAAGCTAAGACTTTCCCACATCCCAGCCACCCCTAATAATTTTTCTTTAGGAGAAGAAAGTTGTGTATATATCTATTCCAGATGGATTGGCTGTTTCTTGTAGAAACACATGCGTTTATTAGTATGTAAATATTTTATTTTGTTTTCCTCTTCATACTAAAACGAAAACTGTAAATAATGTTGCAATGTATTTCCTTCTCCTGTTTTTTTATCCGTGCTTCTTGCCCTGTGCCACCCTTTTCCTTTGATGCCAAGTAGGATTTCTTTCTTTCCCCCCCCTTTTCCCTCTTGGGTTTATTTGGGGTGGGAGGGGAGCATATAACTTTCTGGCAGGGGGTCAAAGAGTGTATTTCTTTGTTTCTTTTAAATGGGAGTCAGTTTTGAAAGTGAAAGATTTTAAAAGTAGGCATTTGGAAATATTTTAGCAGGTTTGTTTGTTTGTTTCATTTTAAAGTTCTGTCTTCATCCTGCTTGTCCCAGTGTTTGGATTTTGAATAGTGTTGAGCTAGGTGTTTGGAAACATATCTTCTCCCTGGCTAGCATGTGTTTCCTGCAGTGGACTGTCCAGAGCTATGAGGAATTGGCTGCTTTCAATTTTCCCCATCCAGAATGCCCTTTATGTTCTAGGGAAACCACGGGTGACACGTGAAAAAGTTTCCATCTATATTTTAATAGTAGAGAGCGGCAAGGGGCTTGCTTTCAAGGGAGGATCAGCATGCCGGCTGGTAGCTCTCTTCTTTCTGCTGCCCTCTGCTGTGTCCCGAATCTTCCCCATATCAAGACAGCTATTGAGAGAATCCATTTACTTCTCAGTTTCCACCCAATTGGCCAACAGAATAAAATGCAGCCCTTCTGAGATGTCTCTTATTGACCTCACAAGCCTGTAAATGCTTGGGATGAGTTTTAGATGTGCCCATCTCGATGTGACATTTAATAGGGCCAAATAACTCCATATTATGTCAGCAACCATGGTCTGCCAGCCCATCCTTGCTGAATACAGTTAATGTTAGAAGTGGGGGCATTTTCAGCAGGCGAGGCATCAGTGGGAGGGCCTGCTGTTTTGCTAATGCTTCTCCCCCACAATCCTTCCTTCTAGCTGTTTTTCCCCCAATCCCCATCTCGCACCCCATCTCTGTGTCCAAGAGTGGAAAGAGAGGCAGGAGTGTAGAGAGAAGCAGGGAAGGCTTAAGAACCTTCCTCCCACCACGTCTCCTGTGAAAAGGCCCCTTCCATACATTTTTATTATTGTTGTTTAGCAAACACACTTTGGAACCCTCATTGGCTGATGTAGTCTGTAGTTCCACCCCATTTCTTCCAGTATTTTGACGGCTAATTATGTTCCAGTAAGAGGCACCTTTCTCACGTTGCTCTACATTTGGTAAAACCTTTCCCACTCTGTGCCTCTTTTGTGTATCCTCTTGGGGGCAGGATTAAAATTGCTACTGCTTTCTGCTCCTTTTCTTTTTTCACTGTGGTGCAATCATGGCACCTCCCCTAAAAGCCCTGGCCAGTTTTAAGGTATGCTTCCATATCTAAAGAGATGGCAGATGACTTCCTCTCCTGCTGTACAAGGCTCCATTAAGACTTGCCCAATATAAGTTGGGTGTTTTGTTTGTTTGTGGGACAAGGAGCAGAATACTTGCAGCAGGTTTGCTGAACTCGATTATATAATTTTGTTGCGCATCTCCCGCAGTTTAATTCTTGTCAGAAGCTTAAATTATTTTTTCCTCTCACTACTATAGTGTTTTGAAACCAAAGAGACAGGAAGTTGTGGAAACCCTATGTTAGCAACCATTGTTTTGAAGTGAAAAGGGGCTGAATCATCTCAAGCAGCTGCCTGTTTTGTCAGCAACCACTGTCTTGATCTCCCTCCCCACCCCCAGGTGATCTCAGTCTTGAACATCCATAATTCCATTGACTTTCTAAATAAACTCTGCACAAATTTTCTACTTACAGATTTAATTGAGGGGGTGGGTGGGGAGGAAGGAAGTTGTTGAGAAACAGGGCCAACCATCGGTCATTCTCTCTTTCCGTTCTGCCTAAAATCTTCAGGTGGATCTTCACCTGCACAGAAGACAGCTGTATTTTAGGTAATTAAATAGTGAAAACAGCTGCAGTAATAAACAGACCCTTTTATGCCCTCCCTTCTAAGCCCCATAAATACTGACCTGTCTTTGGTGTGCTCTCCCAACTCAAATCTCTGCTGTATTTAAAATTTTGAAATAGCTCCCTCCCCAACCCTACATCTTCCTTGCTTTTTCTAAATTATTCGTTGCTGCAGTGTTGTTTGTCTGTTTGTAAGCTTCGCTCTCACCCAGCCCCAGTCAGTCGGAAGGATGTGACTGAAGTCTCATTATGCATCTTCTCTGCATTTCCATTTTTTAAAAAACAAAACAACAAGCAGCCTGTTGGATTTGAGCTTTTAAAAGGCCCTCACTCTCCAGGCTGCTGTTTCAACAGCTCCAGCCCCTTAAAATCCATCTCATCTTAAAGGTTCAGAAACTACATCCTTCCAAGTCTCCCTGACAAGTTTAAACCAGCAGCCACCTCTTAACTGTAATAAACTACTGGCCAAACTTTTTCATCCTAGCTATCCGTGCTTTTCAGTGTATTGACGGATTCTGATTTCAACTGGAAATTCTGGTAAGAGCAAGCTTGCTTCTATTCACAGTTGTGATATTAATTCCAAATAAATATGCCTTTGAGCCCAATACACTCCTGGGGGGGGGGAGGGTGGAGCTGAAACCACATAATATCTCTGAATTATGTTTGGTGGCAGGTTTTTGGAAAAGCGGACTGTATTTCAGCAGGTTGGCATGACAAATCAAGCTTCTGTTTTTACTGGGTGTAAATCTTTTCTGCCGAAGTCAAGTCACAAACGCTGTGTTTAGAGGTGCTGCATCATCTCAGTCCCCAAATATTTCAGAGGGAGGTTTTGGCTGGTTTGGGGAGTGTGACTCTCCTTGTTTTAGATTTTTCAACATGAATCATTTTACCACTGAGATACACAAGCAGAGGATTAGAGCTTTCATTTGGCTCCAGTGGAAGGGAGAACACCCGGGATGAGGGTTTGGTAGGCTTCCCACCAGCATTTCACCTCCTTTAGCAAAGTTCCATTTATTAGATTTTGCCATATATTTTATGCAGGAACGGTTCCTGGTCTTACGAAACCCCTGCTATTTATTTGCATACACCCGTGTGCCTTTTCCAAGCTGTGGATAGAAATCCGTTATTTGCTCCTTGCCTGCAGTTGGTTCCTCCAGCTCGTTTTGTGGGTTGACAAATTAATCATCAAACCCTTTAGTTTTGGCATGAGTTCTCCTCTCCCCATGTCTTAAATATGCTTTTAAAAAATGCTTTTATTTGCAGAGGGGGGTGGGAATTTTTGCTCCCTTCTTCATCTTGAAATCCAGAAGTGTTGGTTGTTCCTCAGTGGTCCCCCCCTCCCCCCAAAAAATACTATAAAGAAGGGGAAACCTGAATTTTCTGCTCGATGATCTCTGGAACTTTTATCCTGTTTCTAACTTCGTTTATGTAACTCGCCAGACAGAACAGATAAGATTCTTTTTTTATATAAAAAAATAATAATAATTCCCCCCAACCAAACCTGTGCAAATTGTTCCAGATGCTTTAATGAATACCACAAGGTTCTTTCATCTTTCAGAGCTGACTCTTAATTTTCCAGCTTCTTCGAGCTGAATGGTTCTGGAACTATGTAGCCACCCACCCATCCGCCTCTTTCTCTTATGTGCATTCCCCCCCTTGTGTACATATATGTAAAATATATATATATATAATAGATATCCAAAAAGATATATATCTTTACCAGGGAGGGTTAAGCTTTTTTTAATCTTCTCTAGCAGCAGTGGCAGCTTGCTGGGAGTTTTGTGTGTAATCAAAGAGGGTGGGCATGTGCACAGATGGATTGATGGATGGGTCTCATTCATTCATTCATTCTCTCTTTTTCTCTCTCTCCCTCTCCCTCTCCCTTCCCTGGCTGCCCAGTGGATGGGTCTCTTTAAACGTACATCCCCACTCCTCTGTCTGTCTATATAAATATTATATATATAGATATATATATATAAATATATTTTCATTTGATCTTATCGGCTTCCTACTTGTAAATATGTTAATAATTTGTGGATTCATTACTTGGTGCCAGATAGCACATTTTTATAAAAGTCATTAAACTTTTATTGTACAAAAACAAAACAAAACCTCGGTGCATGGTTCTTGTTGTCATTTCTAGGCTTGGGGCTGAGCGCGCACCACACCAAACAAGCCTGAGTTTTTACGCCGCGCAAACCTTACCTGCCTGCCCTTAAGTCATGCATGTGAGGTTAGTGTAGCTGTCAGTGCCGCCCCTGCCAACCAAGATGTGCTGGCTGGGATGAACAGAAGTTGTCATTGAAAATGCTTGGAGGGCGCTAGGTTGGCAAGACCTAGGCTAAACTGCTGGGCTGTGGGCAAGGAAGGAGGTTGGGGTTCAGGTTCCTACTCAGCCATGAAACACGTCCTTAGGCTAATTTCAACATAGACTTGCCGGCCCACCAGATAGGAGGAAGGTGACTACAAATGCCTTTCTGAGGTCCTTGGAGAAAGACTGAGATAGGAATGTCATAAGATAATTCAGGGCTTTTCAAATTGAAATTTTTTTTGGGGGGGGAGCGTGGCAAACTCACACACCAGGTTTGTAAACAGTTATATTTCTGCTTGCATCAAATCCAAATTGCCTTCATGCAGTTAAGCTAGGAAGCATTACAGGGGTTGACTTCCTTCTTCTTTGCCACTACCAGTTTGTGCACACCCAGGACCTAGTGAAAATATTGTGAATACTAGTGCTTCATTATTTGTAAGTCTGCCCTGCTCTCATCCATCAAAGGCCGTGGGTCTGCATCCAGAGTGGCAAACTCACACACCAGGTTTGTAAACAGTTATATTTCTGCTTGCATCAAATCCAAATTGCCTTCATGCAGTTAAGCTAGGAAGCATTACAGGGGTTGACTTCCTTCTTCTTTGCCACTACCAGTTTGTGCACACCCAGGACCTAGTGAAAATATTGTGAATACTAACTCGTGCTTCATTATTTGTAAGTCTGCCCTGCTCTCATCCATCAAAGGCCGTGGGTCTGCATCCAGAGTTCATTTCCCAAATAAATATCAATTCCACTTGAACACCAGTTAACCTGTCCCTTCGCAATTAAGACCACTGACATTTGAAAAACTAAAACTTGTTTGTATGCAGTTCAGGCAAGTTATCCATCCATTACCAATTACCTTGCAAATTTCGTGAATCAAAGTGTTTGATATGCACATATTTGCTTAACGGCACAATTCTAATTTCAAGGAATTGGGTCGTTTTGGCCAAAAAGAAGAGGATCATCAGAAATGAGTGTAAAAGTAAAGGTGGTAGCCAAGTAAGTTCTCAGAACAGACACGATGAAATTAATAGAACTTAGGATATCCTTCCATTTCAATGCGTAACCTGAGAGTATGACTAAAGAATATTTCCAACCCTAAGGACATTTCAGGCAGTTTCAATAACAGCCATTTCAAATGACTACATTGGTGCCAACACAGTGCCAACAATGGCACTTTTATCTGACCCTTCAACACACATGGGTTTTCCTCAACAACCAAACTTGGGGTGGTGAACACTGGTGTGCTTTTCATTTTACATGAGAGTGCCGTGTTGTGATGTTAATTGGAAGCCAGGAGGGCACGTAGATTTAAGCTGTGAGTTCCTGTGGCTGACCAGCACCTACTTCATTGGGAGCCAGGGATTTGGCAACCATCAAGGCAACCTTCGACCACTCTCCATCCTGCCTCCCCCCCTTTCTGCCCCTGACTCATTGTGCTTTAAATATATTGATATATTTGCAGTATTTATATACCGCTTTCAGCCGGACCTCATAAAGCGGTTTACATATTACAGTGGTACCTCGGGTTACATATGCTTCAGGTTACAGACTCCGCTAACCCAGAAACAGTGCTTCAGGTTAAGAAATTTGCTTCAGGATGAGAACAGAAATCATGCTCTGGCGGCGTGGCAGCAGCAGGAGGCCCCATTAGCTAAAGTGGTGCTTCAGGTTAAGAACAGTTTCAGGTTAAGTACGGACCTCCAGAACGAATTAAGTACTTAACCTGAGGTACCACTGTACAACAATAAGCATATTTTTTAAAGGGGCGGAGAGGGGATTACAATAAAATGGAAAGGTTCTCTTAGGCAAAGCTGTTACTGCTTCTCTGTTCCCCTCAGGGCAAAATGGTCCTTCAGACACTCTTGTGGCGGCAGTTGGTGGAATGAACAGCTACTCTGGGAGCAGGAAGGTGGCAGTTCCCCAAGTTTCTTCTCTGCTCCCATAAATTTTGCCCAACTGCCCAGAGACTGTTGGTGTCATGCGGCAGCTAAGAGACTGAGCCTCCCCCGTACCAAACTTGCTGTGTCATGAATTGGGTAGGTGGCCTTGGGCAAGGCACGTTCTCTCCTATCCCATCAACAAAATGGGGATATTTAATTATACTGGACGGGGACACAGGCATCTATTGCACAAAAAAATTGGCCCCACTTCAGAGCACAGTTAGTGGCGTTCCTTTGCTTCCTTGCCAGATTTCCCTTGGGAGAAACTCCCATGGCTTTGGAAAGCAGAACTACTTTTCCCCAGTGTTGGCAATTGCACCTTCTCACCGCAGTATCACCTCACATCTCAAAGCCCTTCTCCTCATGAATTGGGTGAGGGCAAAGTGTAATTAAAGATCTGGGTTTAGATGGAGAGATGGCAATCTGAGCTCCATCCTAGATGCCGAGGCTCTAAGGAAGCAATGCTGAATTCAGATGACTGGCGTGAAGAGGTATTCAGTTTCGTCAGTGCAATGACCTGCTTTTGGGTCAGAGCTCCTTCAAATGTATTCCACCCCCTGTGCTTAAAAAGGTAAAGGGACCCCTGACCAGTAGGTCCAGTCGTGGCCGACTTTGGGGTTGCGGCACTCATCTCGCTTTACTGGCCGAGGGAGCCAGCGTACAGCTTCCGGGTCATGTGGCCAGCATGACTAAGCCGCTTCTGGTGAACCAGAGCAGCGCATGGAAGCGCCGTTTACCTTCCCGCCGTGGCGGGACCTATATATCTACTTGCCCTTTGACGTGTTTTCGAACTGCTAGGTTGGCAGGAGCAGGGACCGAGCAACGGGAGCTCACCCCGTCGCGGGGATTCGAACCGGTGACCTTCTGATCAGCAAGTCCTAGGCTCTGTGGTTTAACCCACAGTGCCACCTGCATCCTTGCTTTTGGGTCAGAGCTCCTTCAAATGTATTCTACCCCCTGTTCTTAGACAAGGTGATTTCTGACACCTACCATTTCTTGTAGCAGTATGGCCCCTTACTATCTTTTTGTTTAGAGTTTATGAATGAGTTAGAATATGTTAATAATGTCGGCGCACACCCTAGTACTTTATCTATTTCTATTTCTCTCTTTTTTTGCAATGAGAGAAAGCTTTGCTTGAGCCTGGTTTGGATCAGCGTTCTTGAGCAAATACACACACTGTTCAGGCATGTTGAAGAACAGCACTTGGTTTCTCTCTAAGCAAAAGATCACCACCACCTTCCTCTCTAGGAGATGTGTTTAAAGTAGGGCTGTCATACATCCTGGATTCAACAACTTTTGGGTCCAGATTTTCACTTTTAAAAACTCTGGCAGCAATTGGATGACAGACGTATGTGTAACAGGTACCCTCCCACCAGATGTCAAAGAAATAAACAACTGTCTGACTTTTAGAAGACATCTGAATGCACTTTAGGGAAGTTTTTAATGTGTGACATTTTAATGTATTTTTAATCTTTGTTGGAAGCCGCCCAGAGTGGCTGGGGAGACCCAGCCAGATGGGCAGGGTACAAATAATAAATTATTATTGTTGTTGTTGTCCCATGATAAAACTGGACTATCTTGTCTCCAACACGCATTGGTAGAATCCTGATGTGGAATATGTTTGGTTAGACCCTAATGCCTTTTATGAATAACTTCCTG